TGTTAAGTTCACCTCGATAGTGCATGTTTAAAACATACGGGGCTGTTCAGGTCTGCGAATATACTCCAAAAAGCAGATGTTGTCCGTCGAGTTGTCTTCTTGCTATGCTTTTAGTTCGTCGTGAAACGAGTAGAATGTTCCACCGACTGTTCGGCTATTTTTTTTTCCATAACCGAAACAACTCAACCCGTCCCCAGGTCTTCTGGGTTAACGGTGCATTAACCCGCAACTGTGCTGCACTTTTGACGTCATCGGTTGATTAATCGCAAAATTCTTCCAAATTTGGCCAACAGTCGCTGGTTATGGTGAATTATGCGTGTGCAAGTCTGAAAAAAGCCATTTCCGATTACGCAAAACTCTCATTTTCATTCTAAATCAAAGACTTCGTACTTAGACTCGCTTTGAAATAGAGGCTTGGTATGGCCTATTGTATTGTTTGATCTCCATAATGGCCGCCTTGTCACGTGACTGCAAACCAAGACTAGCCAAGTGGAGCACCTTTCATTTTAATATTAGATTAAAAGGTCATCTGTGACGATTGAGAGACATGGGTTAATACATGAATTATTCAGAACGAATATTCTGATGACACGATGAAGAGAATGGAGACTTGTTGGAGGTCATGAGATAACGGAAGCGTCTGGTACGGTGACCGGAAGTATTTTTTTTTCCTCACAAGGTGTAGATGTCTCAAGCTGGGAGTTAAGATACCACGACGGCCACGGCGGTGGAAACGTCGCTTAAATACGAATTCACATTCCTTCAATCTTAGTCGCGATCATTATTTTAACTCGCTTACTTGGTCAATTGTGGACGAACTCTCTTAAAGTTAAAATCTTGCTGTGACCTCCCACGGCATAGAAATGTCGTCATTCATTGTTCTTCTAACGACTTTAATCTAGGAGCTCAATTTAATGATATGGAAATGTTTACCTGTGGAAAATGATTTATCCGCTATAACTTCGGCACCGAATTCCCAAATTTAGCCTTGATTCCAAACGTAGACTGAGATTAAAGGGGCTGTGTCACGGCAGTCCAGTTCATTTTGTTTAATTTTGCCAATTACTCGCCCTCAATCGCTATGGAACTTTACGTAAGCAAAGAAATTACATGTAAATGACAAAATCAGAGATCCGAGACAAACAAATATGTCTCCTGAGTATTATTTAACTTTAACGGGAATTTTGTGATTTCCTAATTTGGCTGAATTTCGTGACACAGCTCCTTTAAAGTATGTTTGTCTTCCATCAGAAACGCCAATTGGTTTGTCCGAACAAAATAAATTCGCCAACAATTCTAGACACATGACATGTCGCATGACCATAATTTAACGTTGTAATATAAGGCACAAGAAGAGACCTCAAGATTTACTTTAGGGGAAAACTTTATCTTGTTCTAGGCGTCGTAGCGAGACATTGCCAATCAATGACATTCTCTGAACACAACGTACATTTGATCCAGGCTTTAACCGCTAAAAACACTACGCTTTCAATCAAAATTTGCAAATGGTAGCGAGAAATATGTTTAAACAGATCTGGGTAGCGCTTCTGATTGGTTGAAACTATTGAAATAAGCTTCAGTCATTTTCATTTGCGTGCTTATTGCAAATAAGTTTGAAGTTAACGTCCCCAGAACTTCACCCTCCTGAATTAGCACTATTCTCAGAAGATAAGCGCCGCGGTGCTCTTTCGAGTAATTACGGTCTGTCGACTGCGAGCTTTATCCTTAAGCACCTGGTTCAAACAGGTCTCTTTACCTGCAAGACCACTCGCAGCTGGCGAACTTGACCTTTATAGTTCCGAACGTGAAAGTCGCACCATTTGATAAAGTACCCACTCAGCGTTGCGTAGTCAAAAAGCTAAGGACAGGAAACTGTTTCACATGTAAATGTCGCGGATTTCATACTGGCTAACATAAGCGTAGGCAGTAGAATTTAAAGTATGGACTTTCCACCAGGAAGCCATTGTGGAATAATAGAGAAACTGTGTTTGACACCCATGGACATACATACAAATAGCATTTAATTGCGTTTCCCTTTGCCTTTATTTCGCTTCGCAAAAAAGGAATATTTTTTCCTTTCTTTTTTTTCTTTTTTTTTTTTAAATCGGCAACAGATTCAATTCAAACACGACAATCATTTGCCAGGAATTTTACGAAGCATTTTGAGCATTATCTTTAAGTTTCCAATAACTGAGACCGGAATCAGCATGGTCTGTTTTTTCATCGCTGTGTTTTAATAGATCTCCTATATAAAATATGCCAACGCTTTAATTTGCCTAATGTCAAATATGATAACTTGATTGGCAGTGTCGATGGAGTTTTTCGGCAATGCCATCAAAGTGAACTGTTGCGGTGAAAGTTGCTAAAAGATGTATGATATTTTTTGAGCATCTCATTTGAACAAAGCTTTGGTTTTACCTTTTAATTTGTCATGTTCAAGAGCATATCGTTATTTCTCCAACTAATCTCTCAAAGAAGTCAGACGATTATGGTCATCTATTTACCTTTCAACTTACCTCCTGTTTTCCTCAACAATTATCGGATTTCTACAGCTGTTTAGGCATTAGCATTCATTTTTTATCATCATCCTACGTTTAGGGTGGAAAAACATTGCAGCAATTTTATAGATCGGTGAGCGTTAATGTAAATACTAGTTTAAGTAGTCACGGATAGAGAAAACAAACTGTAGCTGGATTTTCCTTGTTTTTGCACTTTTAACCTTCACGGGTTGCATGTTTGGAACATAATTTCTACCCGTCTGGTCGATGCTTTTCGGTAACAGGTAAGGAAAATGAAAATAACGATCTGAGATGATTTGTTGTATTTTTGTGGGTCGATTGCTCGGTAAAGATAAAGTTTATATTGATGCGTGTCTCTAAAGTTGACAGAACCCAGTGATTGAAAACTTAAGGCAGTATTTTTTGGTTATATTCCATTTAAGAACCGAGTTCTGGAATCGATTGCTAGGCATAATCTTATTCACACGTTTTTCCTGTGTCATCGCACATTGAAATAATTAGGCGCAAAGCTAGAACATACAGAAAATACATTTGTACTCTGCGAACCACTAATTTTAGGACATTCACGCTGCTGGTGTAGGAAAATTTTAATAGTCGTTTAGGGAAGTATGAATCAAAATTGTCGGCGCTAATATCAACGGGCGTCAGTTTGCCAGTAGCATGACAACTCGACAAGTGCATTTTCTTTGTTAGTTTATTTCGCTTCTTACGTTTCCTGATACGACGAAATCCTTCAGCGAATGATCTTTGCCTTATTACTGAGATATAAAATTTTGCAAGCGTATGCAGCATTTGTGTGATATTGCAAATTCGGCATGATCAGAGTCCACTTATAAGAAGAGGAAAGTGTTTCCTCAAACAGTTTCTGAAATCCTTAAGTACGACTGCCGCAACCACATCCAGAGTAACCGCCTCGAACAAACGTCCGCCTATCTTAATCCTTTTGGTCCCAAAAGCTTCAATCCAAACATTTAAGGAATTTCACTTCGTAAAATGAGCTAAAATAACAACTTGAAATAAATCATCATTTTTTGAACAAAGTAAATCGTAAGAGAAGTAGTATACTGTGAATGATCAAAGTATAGAATGTTTTACAGACTTAAAAGTTAGAAATCCATACCACTGTGTGAGTATATTTCATAAGAAGTTTAATTACACTAAGGGATGAAGCGACCACTGCTCCTTTTCATTTAGAAGCAACCGCAACAGAATCAAGACCACATTTCGTAACAGGCTTTGGCGCCTTATTCTGGGGAGTTAATGTTAATATAACCGCAAGCCTCGGGGCTGGATTTTGATATCGCTTTCAGGTGCAAGTTTAAGTAATCGAAATAATATGAAAAAAATTCAAATTAAAAGATAGTAGCATGGTAAATAAATCATCTTAACGTTGTTTAAATGATCAAGCATACCGGTGAAGCAGAGTGCGAAAATTGATTTTTAAAAAAGTAGTCAACACAAACACACACTTTTCAGAGAAAATTTGTAACTTCTCTAAATGTAAAAATAGACGTTTGTTCCTGATTCATTGTCATTAATTATTAGTAGTAGTAACTTTGCTAAGTTATCTTTGAATATTGGCAACTGACAGTCCTTTTTGTAGAGTTTTTCGTTCCTTGCCAATGTCCCGGCAAACCAGTGATTCCGCCACAAATTCCTTTGTATTTTTTAAGATTGAACGCAACGCGCTATAAACCGGAATATCCTTTGATTTTTCATTTTATCAGTTTTAGTAAACGGTAATTTCCGCAGTTTTATCCTAGTTATCCTTTTCGTCTCCCATTGTATATTTAACAATTATTGAAAGCGGTGAGTATGATGTGAAGTATTATGAAGTTACAAGTTCAAGTGGCCTCTGAATTGCATCACAAATCGAAGCAAAAAAGAAACGCTTGAAATTTGCGAATTCAGCCAGTAATGCAATTTTTTACAGTAGGTTCATTCGTATACAAATTGAACTTAAAAGTTGTTTTGATCTGGAAAGTGTCTCCATTTAGTTGAGTTCACTTAGGGGGCCACTGGATTATAATACATTTACTGACTGTGAAGTACTTAAGTAACACCCCTTCCAAATGACCCTTCTTAGTTTGAATTATGAAAAGAGCTGGCAGGCCAGCGTAATATTGTAGGTTAGTCTTTTGCAAGCAGTAAAAACCTGCGGAATTGCTTTATAGCGGGAACTATAAAGAGCTACACATTCCTCATAAACACTCGAGAAGTGTCGTGCATGAAATTTCAGGGAAAATTAATTAGAATTACTCCTCCTATGATCTTAAAAAACTCAGGCTTGCTATTTTTATGGTTTGTCAGAGAACTATGAGAATTTGCTGATAATGAGGCGAGAATTGTACCAAGAGTTCGCTTATAGGCGGGACTCAATGGGATTAACCATCAGCCACCGAGAGAGGTAATTTTGTACCGTAAACCGTCAAAACTACGGAATAAAATTAACCGTCTAAAAGTTTCAAGGTATTTCAAATCTTACCACTCCAGCTGATCTTCATGGACTTCTGGCTCCTGAATCTGCTGAATAATCTCTAAACTGGATAAAACAGTACAAGACCTTACAACTTGCTTAAGTTTGTTTATATCTGAAAATATTACCTATGGAATAGGGTATGTATGGGGGATGCCTTCTCTGTCCCCTTTATCCTCTCTTGGCTAAAAGGGCAAGACAACGTACAAAACACAACAGTTAATATTAATTAATACAGAAGTTAAAAAAATTTTATTGAACTCTTGGACTAAATTTACACTTAAAACCTTCATCCGTCGAAAGCTATGAAATTTAACCGTCAACCGTCAAAATTTGAAAAAAATTAACTGTCAACTGTCAAAGCTATCACCCCATCGAGACCTTCCAGAAGCATATCACCCCGAAGCGTATAACTTTGTCGCAATGCTCGGTTTTTTTAGGGAACCAATCAAAATTTACTTCCCAATATGAAATTACTGATAAGCGAGATTGTCGTGCGAGTACTCTATAGGAAAACTTGTATCGCGATGTAAATGATGCGGTGCAAAACGCATTTACTGTTTTACGAGGTAATATTTGGCAAAAAACGGAATAAACTATTAATCCCCAAATGAGCAAGACTGAGTTAGTTCCTCCTAACAAGACAAAATCGACTACCAATGATATGCACCGTATTACTAGGAGTAATCGGAGCTTAGAAGAGTGCGTTCGATATGTTTGTAAGGCATATAGGTAGCAGTTGAGGAGGAAGGGTGGATGGTTATTGCGATAGATTAAACCCGATTTCCATATGATCGCTACGATCGCTGAGAAAAAAAAGTTCAGCGATCATATAGAAACCAGTCTCCAGCGATCGCAGCGACAACGATAGCTGAGATAGAACTTTTTACATCTCAGCGACTGTTGTCGCTGCGATTGCTGGAGAGTGGTTTCATATGATCGCTATGATCGCTATGATCGCTGCGGTCGCTGAAGTTTTTTTTTTTCTGAGCGATCGCAGCGATCGTAGCGATCATATGGAAACCGGGTTTAATCTATCGCAATAACCATCCACCCTTCCTCCTCAGCTGCTACCTGTACGCCTTACAGACATATCGGACGCACTCTTCTAAGCTCCGATTATTCCTAGTAATACGGTGCATATCATTGGTAGTCGATTTTGTCTTGTTAGGAGGAACTAACTCAGTCTTGCTCATTTGGGGATTAATAGTGTGGATCCTTAATAAGTCCCAGGATCCCTATCACTACCGGAATTGTTGTAGCTTTCACCCCCCACATTCTTTGAACTTCGATTTCAAGGTCTTTGTATTTTGAGAGTCTTTCAGTTACTTTAACTGAAGTGTTCTTTTCGGTGGGGATGGACATATCAATGAGCAAGCAGTTTTTTTCTTTTTTGTTCTTGATTACAATGTCTGGTCTGTTGGCCTTTATCTCACCATCTGTCTGTATTGGCGTATCCCACAAGACTGTGATGTTATCTTTTTCTGTTACTGTTTGGAGCTCATGCTAGTACTATTTCTCGTTTGTGTCTATATTCATCTCTTTGCAGATGTTCCAGTGTAAGTATGTGGCGGCTTTGTTGTCTCTGTGTAGGTATTCAGTTTTGGCAAGCTCAGCGCTAACTCAGGGCACCCTGCACCGTCAATCGTTTCCTGAAATTGACCTCAAATTCTGCACATTGGGTCTGTACCATCTTTTAGGATCTTGCTACGATAGTAGTTCGTCTTGATGGCCTGATCTTGGGCAGCAATTATTATTAGTATTATTATATTGCATTTATTTATTTATTTATTTTCGTTCGGTAAGAAACTGTTATTTGATTTACATTTCTGAAAACAAATTAGTACTTAGCTTTTCATATGAAATTTGAATTCAATAACTTTGTTACCTTTAGATTAAATCACAAATACAATATTTCGAGCTCATCGGAAAACAAGCTTTTTTTTCATTTAATTCCATTCATATTTATGCCCAGGGGATAGCTAGACAGGTGGATCGTTATCGATATTGTATACTACCTGCTAAGAGGCAATCAGGTTGCACTGGTTTATTCGCTTAAAAAAAGCAAATCGTATTTCATTGGTCAAGTTGAATGCTGAACCATTAATAAGCAAAAATGATTTATGTTGAGTCCTAAATGCTTATGTAACCAAAACAAAACTGACAATAAATAAATGCAATTAAGCTTTTGAGAGGAGATCATTAATCAATTTAGTTCTGCGTCAGCCTACAATAAAATGCTTGTTGAATTTGTAAAGTAGAAAGTGGCGATTTAAATAGCTGGAAAATTTTTTTGTTCGCATCTTACTGGCCAAGTATCTCGAAAAAAAAGCAGAGATTCCTCGTGTAGATTTTATGCAGTTTTTCTTTAACCGTGTGAAATAATTTTTTTCAAAATATTCAGCCCATCTGCCAGGGCGGCGCTCTTTTAACAATTTAATACGCTTTTTTATATGAATTTCGGTGTTGGTTAATCCATCTCGCTGACGTCAAATAGGAGAACATCTGTGTTATCGTCCACTAAGTGAAATATGAGATTTAACAGCCTGTGCAATTAAGGCTTGCTCTTCTTCGTTTCAAAATCTTTCTGAAAAAAATCACCCGGTCAGCGACTGGAATTTTGAATAATTGTCAGGGTTGAGCTTATGATCTAGTTGCGAGGTAGGTAGTTTTTTTATTAACGGATGTTGTTGGATTTACATTTTAACCTGTTATGCTTGCGCAAAAATTATCAGAGACACACGATATCTTTCTCTGAGTAAAGAAAAACTATTTTATCTCGTTGAATCTTTCGCTTCCATTGCACCAAAATCTACGAAACTGAAAATTTGTCAATCGTACGACAAGTGAAGACTGGTCGAGGTATGCAGTTGTATTTGAAACCAAGTCGTTGCATTTGCATTTCAATTCAACATATCTGCTTCAATATTTTCCAGAGGGCCGACGTTGTAAAAAACACTCGATTACACGGAAACATGATGTGTGAAATGTTAGCAGGTCTTCAAATCCTATCAAAAATGTAAACTGTGAATAATTTTCTCTGCTGTGATTCGCTACTTTCTTCGAGCAGATTTTTACCTTGTCACTTACAGAGCCATTAGGAGTGTTGTTCTACAGTTCAAGAGTGGAAAAGGTGAAACTTTTGGCGAGGTTGTTAAAATAATTAAACAGTTTGTTTTGACATTTGGAAACACGAAACTTGGAAAGCCTCTTAAACTTTTGCTTTTGCCAACAGATGTGAGTCGACCAATTTTTGTGTCGAGAACTAAGAGCCAATGATTTGATTCATTCTTAAAAATCTTCCCTGGAAAGCGTGAATAATTTTGGGAAAAACCCGCCGATTTACCTAAGAATTCACTCATGTTGTGTTCAAAAGAAACTATGATAAAGAAATCAACGTACGCCTCCTAATTATAACACATATGCAGATCTAGGGAAAAAATCTATCACAGGCTTCAGCATACTATAAATACGCTCCTTGAAAGTCTTTCCATCACGATTTATTGTTGTTATTAGTTTTTTGTATTCATTATTATACCGTAAAATTCCGAAAATAAGCCCCGGGGCTTATTTTTGGAGGGGCGTATCTACGGACATCCTCGGAGACCCAGGGGCAGAGAGTGGGGGCGAGGGAAAGTCTAGACGGGCGGGAAAATATGGCACGAAAAAAAGCAAAGAACGGCGAGAAGAGCCCCTGGGGACAATGTCTTACCAGACCAGTTCCAAACGGTCGCCGCCGTTCTGACTTCTGATTGGTGCCAGAAAACTTTTGTGTTTTTCTGCTCAATCAGTCACGAACGTCAGAACGGCGGCGACCGTTTGGAACTGGTCTGGTAAGACACTGTCCCCAGGGGCTCTTCTCGCCGTTCTTTACTTTTCTTAGTGCCACATTTATCCGCCCGTTTAGACTTTCCCTCGCCCCCACTATCTGCCCCTGGAGGGAAACTTGCGTTTCAAAATCGATTGGGCTAGCCTTTATAGTTGGAAGTAAATTTACCGTTTTTGCTTTATTTTACTTTGTATTTGAGGGAAATTTTCCAAGTACAAGCCCCCGGGGAGCTCATATTTTGAGGGGCGATTTAACGGAGGGTTTTTTGTGTAACCGGTTTGGGGGGCTTATATTTGGAGGGGCTTATACATAGAGGGGCTTATTTTCGGAATTTTACTGCAATTTTATAATTATAATCTCTAATTTGCCCAGGTAGTCCACTGTCCTGGGCAAAAAATATGCTCGGTTATACGAGGTCGTGAAGGTCGAAATTATTTTTGCGATCTTCTGCTTTTGTTTTGAGGCTTTTTAGTGTTCGAAATTTCTTTTAGTCCATGTATTTCAAGCAGAAAGAAATAAATTTGACTACAACATAGAAGACCTTTTCATGACGTACGGAGGTAGTCAACATGGCGCCCAACAAAGTTTTTGCATTTTGTTGTGTTTATACTTGAGGGTCTTAACTTTCCTGAAGATGCTCAAGTTTATAAGAAAAAACTTTGGATACATATATCATAACCAATGATTCTTTGCCGCAAAATAGCCTAGCTAGTCCAGGCGGGAAGGAACAGTGAAAAAAATATTACAATAACAGGGTTGAAACATAACAATAAAGAAAACAGATACATCAACATCAACACTAAACAGTGAGTACATATATTTCAAAAACTGAAAATTTTTAAATTCTCAGTTTTAATTTACTAAATACCTTATTCGTACTTAATTTCGGGCGTCTTTAATTTCGCGATTTTCGCGATTGTAAAAAAATCGCGAAATTAAATACCACGGTAAGAAATTTGAATCACAAAGAACTTGATAAACATAATCAACAACGACATGTACAGTTGATATATCGACATAAATAATAAATTATTCCCTGGTAAGCTCCATTTTGCATCTTGTCAAGTGTGATCAATAAAGGTAATTTGCAAAGATTTCACATGAAAATATCGAGCAGAAAATCTAACCACTCATCTTCATCTGAAGATGATTTGACTGTTAATAGAGAAGCAAAAAAGTTTATGAAAGACCAATTCACGTCTTGGTACTCGGCGCAAATTCAAAGTCAACTACTGATTCAGGGATGGTCCTCGATGATGTTGATGTTGACCTGCGACTCTCCGTTCTCAACCAATTCACGCAACTTGGATCGTTAGCATGTACAACCATTTGTCTAGTTCTGAAGGCAGACAGTCAACTGCAAAAAAATGGAAGAAGGCTGGCGTACCTGATGTTGTTAGTGGCTCAAAGAAACTTCCACCGGAAGATCCCTTTGAAGACCTGGATGTTTAGGAACATTGCGGACTCTAGGACAACATGTACCTGATCTTAACTTGTTCCAGTTTGATTAGAATTGTTGTAGTTCAGACTCTTTTTTTGAAAATAAAATGACGTTCACAACGCTTTCGCGACATTTAATGATCTTTTATCACTTTCCCCCATCGAAATCGCGAAAATAAAGCTTCGCGAAATACTGTCTCACGAAAACCGCGAAATTAAGTACGAATAAGGTATGTCAATGTAACTATTAAATTTTAGAGAGCATGTTGAAAACATGCTACGCCAGCATATATGATCTTGCCATTTGGACAAAAACCTTTTACCAGAATAATTTAAACAATTTTTATCGTATCCTTTTTTACACTTTTTAAGGGCTGTAGATATAATTATATATCTGTAATAACACCAAAGACAAATCAAGACAAAGACAAATCTCAAATTTCACAAGACATGTGAAAACACAGGTAAAATTCTAGAAATTTTTATGCGTAAGATGTCATTTTGTGAATTTGACATTTACTTTCTCGGATTCCCATGAGAAATATTCTTTGGTGTTATTACACATAACAACTCACATTTGTAGCCCTTGAAAAATGTAAAAAAAGAATTCAACATGCTTTAAATTATTCTGGTACAAGGTCAATTTGTCCGCTGAAAAATAAAACCACTTTTTTCGGATCCAAAATTCAAGACTTTTTCCAGACTTTTTCCAAAACAATAGCTTATTTTTCCAGACCCAAGGTTACCAAATTGGTGGTCAATAGAGACCTTGAAAAAAGCGGGAACTAACCTTTTTTTAAGATGAACCGCAAACCTCAGTAACCACGGTACAATGCGATCGACAAATGAGGATTATGAAACTTCTCACTATGTGATTAAATGTCTTGGCTACAGGCGATATTGAAAGACATTTGACTAAGGGAAAAAATTCACAAAAGCACTTGTTGTAGATTTGAAAAAATAAACTCCAGACTTTTTACCATTTTTCCAGAGTTAATCTCTATTTTCCAGACTTTTTCCATGTTTGGAAAATTGCTATGCAAATTTCAAGACTTTTTCAAGAATTCAAGACACTTACATGTGCGACCTTAATACAGCACCAAATAGACGCCTAGTTGTTCAAAGCTCCCTGTCAACAGAGCTAAAATATGGAACAGAGTGGGCCGCGGTCAAATTTTTCAGCCGGTCGAAAATTCGTCCGGTGCCGCCTGGACGTAGCCTTATGGGGCGTTAGAACCCTACCTTCGCGTGCAAATACGTTGAGTGTGCAATATTCATAGCACGTGCAGTTCGTATGAAATTTACATCAAGCACTACCTAAAAATGAACAGACGTCAATGGGTGCGTAAGAGAGCGACTTTTATGTAGACGAATCATTCGTCTAGAATGAAAGAAAATCTTGAGTGTCCGAGTTTTTGAGTTAAGAACTCTGTATTTGTGCTTATGCTTAATCTAGTCCTTTTTCAGCTACTTAAAGTTATCGAGTACATAGCCTTACGCAATCATTGCAAATTACTGCAACAAGCCTAAGAGAGTTTAATGCCATGTAGCCTGCGAAAACATCCCGTTTCTCCTCGCTCTTCGCCGATGGGGACGTTTCGCGAGGAGGAACGTCTGCGACTCAGGGACAGAAATTCCACGATGATGACGTAAAATCTGTCCGGAATCCGGTCAGTAGCGCTGATTGGTCGACGGAGTAGTTACATTGTTTTAGCTATTGTTTACGAATGACAGACAAAAGACAAAAAGCCACAAAGGTCAAATGTAAACGCGAAGAATCTCTAACAAAACAGTCAATATTTGGGGAATATAGTCTTCTCTAGAAGAAGCACTTGAGTTTTGCTGGAGCTCGTTGGCAGATAAACACAACACTTTACCAAAATCGACCAGAAGACACGTAAAACTGGAGAAATTTGTATTTGGACCCCCATGACTAATGGATTTATTATGTAAACATTGGATTGCGTCATCAGTATGGAATTTCTGTCGCTGAGGCGCGGAACGTCCCCATCGGCGAAGAGCGAGGAGAAACGGATGTTTTCGCAGGCTAAATGCCATGAAGCTTTTAAAAATTAAAGTTCTTTTTGTTCCAACTAATTGTTATTTTACACGTTTATTAGTAAGCTAGAGGCATTTTGCCCTTTTGCCACAGAAATGGTAGCCTGCGAAAACAGCCTTCTCCCCGCTCCTCGCAGCTATAGGGACGTCTGCGCCTCAGCGACAGAAGTTCCGTACTTATAACGTACAATCTCTCCGAAATCTGGTCAGGAGCTCTGATTGGTCGACTTTGTAGTTATATGGTTTTAGCTTTTTTTTAATAGCGAGAAACAAAAGACAAACGGTCACAAAGTTCAAACGTAAACGCGATGAATCTACTACACAACAGTCAATGTTCGTGGAATGTATCGAATTCTTCTTTAGCAGAAGAATTGGAGTTTTGGTGGAGCTCGTTCGCTGAAGAACACAGAACTTTACCATAATCGACCAGGAGAAACATATGAACTAACAAATTTTCTTTTGGAACCCCAAGACTACCGGGTTTATTATGTAAACATTGATTTACGTCATCAGTATGGAATTTCTGTCTCTGAGGCGCAGGCGTCCCTCCTGGCGAAACGTCCCTGGCGAACGGCGATGAATAAGGAGAGACGGCTGATTTCGCAGGCTATAGAATTGATTCCAATCTCGTTCCCAGAGTTGGATTGCAAAAATATTCCATGTCAAATGCGATTTTTATTTGACATTTATTTATTTATTTAGTTTTCACTCTTTAAATTTAGGTGAAACATTTTTCTTTAGAGATGCTCGGGCCTGAACCTCGTTCACAGGTTAATCTTCAGTCATATCTTGTCATCTTCAGACTGAGACTTGAATTCAGATTCTGACAAAAACAAAAAAACTGTACCCTCTCTCTCGGGCAATGAATTCGCCTGTAATGTGTTTCGCCCTTGAAATCCAACCGAGGTGAGCTTTCACCGGGTCTTGTAGAAAAGGTTCTCCAGCTGTTCACATTTACGCATTCCCAAAATCTTCGGCTTAACGTCGCGTACGGTTAAGGACTGGAAGAAAATATAATAAAATGTGAAAATTAACACTCTCTCCGAAAGTAGTTGGAAAGTTAGTTGAAAAACATGGAATATCGTTGACGAATGCAAGGTTATCCTTTCTCAAGCTTCAGAATTTCTAGGCAATATTTGCTCCTTCAAACAGTTATTTTTCTGTGAAACAAGTTATAACCTCGAAAATAGCTGCAATGGATCAAACACGGATATCCTGTGACTAGAACTCAGTCGCTTTGCAGTACCTCTGTATTCGAAAGCATTTTTCATAAATATTAATGAATACTAGTTATTTTGTACTAGAAATTTAGCGAGTACTTCCTCTTACAATCCGATAACGTCACCGTTGACTTCAATGTGGGGTATTAATGAACAATTCACTTGGCATCGTGAATATTCTTGCAAATATTAAGTGTTTGTTGTTACACCGTCTGCAGTAGCGTCGAAGTCAAACTATAGCTGCTTCGAAAGATACTTTACTTTCCTTAGGCTTCTTCTGTAGCCATTTGCTCAAACTAAAAGCTGTGGTCAATTAACAACTTGCTCGCTGTTTTGGTAAGGACATTTAGATAAAGCTGGGCGGGAAGTCATTTCCCTTGCTGAATGCCCAATTGAAATTATTAAGACCGAGCTCGACTCCATTTTGTGCTATTTAAACGAGCGAACGATTATTGTTTTTCTGTCCTAGGGTTTTAAAGAAAGTTGTCAGACGGAGCACCTTGAAAACTGGATAAACGGAGCATAACATTCATCGTTAGGACAGTAAATATTCATAGGTGAGAAAATAAGAATATAATTCTGCTTTCCTTGTTTACATTTTTAGGTAAGAAAATGCAACCCGTGAAGGGTGTAGTTGAATACTCCGTGTTCTTTTTTTTATCCTTTCCTAGCATTAAATTTAGAAATAGTAAGGCAGTTTATGAGAAGTTTATGTGTTACATTTTAAGCGTCGCCCACGCAAGCTAATAATATTTTTCGAAACGAGTTTTTGGTAATATTTTAACGAATATATTCAATATTTGTTTGAATAAGAAAATTGCAATAACACATTCAAATATCCTCGTTCAAAATTTTTTCAGTCCAATATTTTTCATTTGAATATGGGCATCACTCTTGTATCAATAAAAAGAAATAGTGGTAAAATTTGGACTTCGACATTAAGTTTGAACTGCGTCGACGATGTAATTTTGCACATGAATGCATATTAATAATAATGCCAATAGCGAATGGGGATTTTCTTAAAAAGTCTTTTCCAACATTAATTCATCGAGGGATTCGCTTTTAAGCCTTGGAAGGATTATTTGTAATAAGCTTTCGTAAAGAAAATGTGTTTATTTAAAAAAATAAATAATTAGACCTGTTTGGCCGATCGCTTTTGTAGCGTGAATGAATAAAAATCTGTCGGTTTTAGTAATTTGCTTATTTACTTCACAGACCTCCAGGCGATCGCTGCTATAGCAGTATAGCCTGATAATGGTAACCTATGAGATTTATTTCACCAAAGAGAAACAAAAATTAAGGTTACTGGAAGAAGGAGCGTCGCTATAAATAATGTATAAATGAAAAGTTTTCGTATTTAGTGTTTTATGTGCGAAACTCGACAGGTTTTGAGTGGATTTGTCATGCTGTGCTTTCTTTATCTAACTAGCGGTGTATGCAAATCACTAAATGTCTTTTTCTTAAAGGAAAATGTTTGCGGAATCACTTTGTCATCTGCAGTAAACTATAATTCCTTCTAAACTGGTGACTCCTTTTAGTTTGCAGTCCTCGTTTTTTAAGCTGTGTTGAACGGCTTTTTTCATTTGAACCGTGGGCAGGTGGAAAAATGAAAATCAGCTAACAGCATTCGCATGAGGAAGAGAAAGGTCGATCATATCTCCGAATATTGAGTGAAGGTTATGATCAAATACACAATAAGTTCTTTACGGCTCTTAAAATATAAGATGTTCTTCGCAAATAAAATATTTTTCTTGCTAAAATAACAAACGAACCACTTAGCCATGCAGTTATTCAATTTTCAGAGTTATACACAATATTTAAATTAGGAAGTATCCCCAGGTAAATTTACACTACAAGAACTCTTTAAGACGTCGGAACGTTTTATTTTTCTTTATAATTTCTTCTCAAATAAAATAAAATAAAATATAAATATTAATGAATTTAAATGAGCTAGCAATTTATCGCTTGGGAATATTTAAAAGCATTTTACAATTTTTAATATAAAGACTTAGGTAAGCCTTAAAGCGGAGCTCCCATTGATCATAAAATCTTAAACCGCGTGCTGAGAATAGCAAAAGCACACATTCATAGCCGCAGGCTACGGTGGCCCACATGGCTCTATTTTGAACTTATTGTCAAGTGTATCCCGTGTGAAATAGAAGCTAGAAGGGATAACAACAGTTCATCAGCCTATTTGCCAGTTGCAAGGGCCATTTGGGTGAATTCTTTGAGCCTCTCGGTTATAATCAATTTTTGGATTTGATGATAGGATTCAAAATAAAATCTTGAGTTCATGATCGTTACCTGCATCACTCATACGGAAGTGTTACGATCCCCTGGTGCCCCTATTGAAGAATTATATTAACCAATCTATTGTAATAGGTGAGATGCCTGAAGGCGTTAAGACTGCCATTCGCCAGTACATTTTTTTTAAAAAAGGTCAAGCCGACTGCGAGGATTTAACTAATTACAGACATGTATCGAACCTCAGGTCTGAGACAAAATTAATCGAATAGGCCATTTTTAACAAGTTAGATGACTACTTCACTGCCTCTGATATTCCTGCGAAATTACAATCCGCCTAAGTTTTTCACAGCACTAATATGTCATTGGTAAAAGCTTACAATGATGTCATATTAGCTTTAAACAAAGAAGAAAACGTATTGTTGATATTGTAGGATCTATCGGCAGCTTTTGACTCAGTAAATCATAGCTTGCTCCTCTCAAGAGCGTTCTATTAGTCGGTGTGCCTCAAGGGTCTGTTTTTGGACCTCTCATATACTTTATCTATACTTGACAAGACAAGACAAGACAAGACAAGACAAGCACTTTATTTATACCACACAGAAAAAAAGACATTAAAGAAGACAATACTACTTATGTAAGGTACAAGCAACCTAGAAAATATCTAAAAGGTTAATCTAGCCGTAGGAGACATTATAGATTAATTCAGAATATTAAAGAGGTTGCATTGCTTCATGGAGGCACAAGTATAACACAACGTAAAAAAAAATAAACAGGAATGCAAAATGTAGATCTCGAGGGGAGCCTAGTTTTATACTTGTGCTTTGAAGATACCGGGGTAAAGAAATTACTAAACGCAGAGGGCAATAGATTTGATTGGAATTTAAACATGAAGGTATGATTTAAATGATAAATAACATCATTGAACTTCATAACATTTAGATCTTTAAGTAAAGGAGATGATCAGTATATTGAGCAAAAGTGATGTTCTGACTAACTTTTTTTGCAACACAAACGTGTGTTAAGTAGTTACATAGGTCAGTATAACTCCAGTGATTTCACCATATATTAAGAAAGGATATAGATGAGAGAGAAGTAAAGCTGTCTTAAAATAGTAACAGAAACATAATGGCCCTGGATTTGGCTAAGATCCCAAAGCCCCTGCAGGGGCGTAGGGTGACCATTTTGACAAGTACGCACACGGGTTCATATGGTTTTATAAAAACTTGAACACAATAACGTTTTTGCTTTCCATGTATAAATAATTGGCAGTTTAAAGCCTTGTTAACAATAGAACGTGATATCAAAAAAAGGTTTTAAAACGTTCTACTCTGAGTTGGTACTGGAATGTTTACCAACACAAGGAGAGGCGTCTTTTTGTTCATAAATATGGAGTTTAAAAGCATCGGTTGGAAGAATTGCGAATTGTGCATGTGCATGTTTGTGTAAGTTTTCCGCACGCTTGGTCCACGGTTAGGCCCCGTCCACACGTATCCGGAGATTTTTGTATTCGCAAATTTTTTTATGCGGATACACCTAGCGTCCACACGTGTCCGCCGCCGCTCGGTGCATCCGGAGATTTCTGTATACGCTGTGTATCCGGATACGTGTGGACGCTCGTATCCGTATATTTTTGTATACGCTGACGTCACAGTATCAGAACCAGTCTTAGTGCGCATGCTCTGTTGACTAATCCTTTGAGATGTCCGGATACGAATCGAATACGTGTGGACGGTCGTATACGATTCGTATACGCTACGTGTGGACGCAGATATTTTTGTATCCGCATAAAAAAATTTGCGGATACAAAAATCTCCGGATACGTGTGGACGGGGCCTTAGTCCTTTGCTAACGTTTTGAGTTTTTCCCTTATTTCGATCATGAGTACGGGAGAGGAACAAACAATTATTGTCGGCATATATTTATTTTCAGCTGTTCTGAATATCTCTAAAGTTTGTCATTGAATAAAATACTACACCTGTTTGCTAGGACTAAATTTCCTGCAAAATTCTTGTTGATACCGCTCCATGGCCTCACGTGCTAATAGTTTGCATTGTATTTGTATTTGTATTTTATTTTTTTACTCCCTCCTATAATACATTAGTTGTACAATAATACAATAGTTGTGCAATATTAATAATACATTAGTTGTACAATATCAATTGGTACAAAGTTGCTTAAACTACGTGTACTTAATAATAATAATGAAAGAAGAAAATTAGAATGGAGAAGGGCACATTATAGTAAAAGTAATCATGGCCCTTTAACAAAATTGACTTTATTCTTTTGTAGTTTTGTTACTCATTAAAACACAAACACGCACGCACGCACACACACACGCACACAAGTCAATATTGAGCAAGATAATATTTTTTAGGTGCCTTTTTGAACAGCATTTTCGATGAATTATTGCGAATAGAAAGGGGGAGATCGTTCCAATAGTATTTTCCAATGACGGTAGGGCGAAACTTTCGAATATTAATTCTTGGGTGGGGAATGTGTAATTGCTGAGCAGATGCACTTCGCGTAAAATAATCATGTTGCTCAGATACAAGAAATAATGGAAAATTACACGGCTTATTATCAGAGACATAATCATATAAATAATAATAGTTTTCTTCAGCTTACGTGCATTATCGTCGGTATGGTTTGGTCCATGATCTGCAAGTTGAGTTGTTATATATAGAGAGAGAAAACTAAAAAAATGAAAAGCTTTTGAATGGGAAAACTTTGCAGATAAATCTTAAAAGGAATGATAATTAGTCAAGGTTGATTTTTTCCGTTTTTCATGAATACGCACTGTATTGTGGGATCGCCTGAAGGCAAACGTTTCAAGAGTGTTTCGCATTTATCACGTTCCACTACCCAAACTGTTGTTTTTACGTGTAAAAACGATGCGAAATAACAGCAAGACAGACAAGAACAAATCTGGACAATATCGGAAGTCACGTCACGACATTACAAATGGATTTTACTTATAACAGAAAATCTTTTTTTAAAAAAATCCTACCAATTTCTCAAGTACGCACGTTTTCTCGTGCTGTTTTCTCAATCTCTTTCTTAGTATGCGAAAACAGCCCTCTCTTCCCCCTCCTCGCAGATAGGGACGTTTCACCTCAGGGACAGAAATTCCATTCTGATGACGTAAAATCTGTCCGGAATCTGTTCAGGAGCTCTTTCAGGAGTTATATTGTTAAGCTATTGTTTACGAACAACAGACAGAAGTACAAACTGTCACAAAGGTGAAATGTAAACGTGATGAATCTACTACAAAGCAGTCAATTTTCGTCAATTTCAAATGTATTCTGACTTCTTTTGCAGACGCATTTTGGCATTGCTGGAGCTCGTTCGCCCGAAGGAAGCAAAACTTTATCATAATTTACCAGGAGACACATAAAATCAAACAAATTTACATTTGAAACCCCATGCGTAACTACCGGATTATATTATGATTTACATCATCAGTATGGAATTTCTGTCGCTGGGCGCGTCCCTCTTGGGTGAGCGAATAGAAACGGCTGTTTTCACAGGCTATTTCTCTCTGTTCCTCAGAATATTCCGTCGCCTCTTTTCTCGTTTTCATTTCCGATCTTTTTTTTTTTCTTCCATCTGTTTTTTTTTTTTTTGAACATTACGAAATTTAAGTAAAAAATGCTCTTCTAATAGGAATTTGGAGGAAAATCAGTTTGATCGTTAAGGATTAAGATTAGGGGAATCGCCCTGCGCACCTGCAAGCCCCCCGGAATCAAACAGACCTTTGAAGACATCAAGTGCATGGCAAGCGCGAACGACAAAACATATCACGTGACAGAATTTTAAGCTAACATTTTTTTTCGCGTTTTCTACTTGTTGTTTTTCATAGCGCGTGGTAAGTAGAATATATTTGAATTGCTGAAGTGCAGTTCACTGGCAGTTGTTTTAACTTGCATACATTTTAACGCATAAATTTACTGAATTGTCCAATTAAATTTCGGCTAAATCCCAGATGTGATTCCTGGAATCAAGATATCAACAACAACAACAACATCTTTTATTTAATCACGATAATTGCTGGTGTGGATGTGTATGACATAACTCAAGCTGAATAGATAGCAGTAACGTTAAGCCCCTCCTTGACTGAAAGCGGCTAAGCTTTGCTTTGCCCTGATCTTATTGGGCAGGCCACTCCATAGTTGAGCTGCACTATACCTAACTGATTTTATTAGAAGTTCGAGGTAGGCTTGGAGAGGGTAAAACAATTTTTTCTTCTGAGATCGTATTTTTCAGTTATATATTTGAAAAGTCCTTGTGTACTTGTTGGGGCAGTACCTTGAAAAGAAGTGTATGTTAAGACTGGCATCCTTGTAACTGTAGTCGTTTTTAGTGAAGGATTTCTTCCGAGGGCGTTAACTAGTCTGACTCATTTATGTATGATTTTTGCGGCACGGACATGAATTTTCTCAAGTTCTGTAAAGAGTGTACTTCCACAGGATCCCCATACAGCTATGCCATATGTAACAGATGGTAAGATGACTTTAAAGTAGAAATCTTTTCTAAGTTTAACTACAGGAAGGAAATGCAAAGATCTTAGCAGGCTCAACTTTTTAGTGCGAGTTTGATTAGCCTATTTACAGGAGTGTCCCGTGATTTGAGTTCATTATCCAAGTGAAGACCTAAGCGTCTGGAAGATTCAACTAGCTTTGCGGCGTTACCTCCAAGTGATATCTGCTGTGAGGTCCGACGAAATGTCAGCCCCGTTTCAAAAGCATATAATCAAAGATATGATCGCCGCCATCGCCAATACAAAACTTAAAGAAATTGAACAAATTTATGTTTGCAAAATTGTTAGTTACGACAAACAGCCCCCGCTACCCCTCACCTAACTCATAATTTTGCCCATATGAGGGAGACCAAGTCTTAACTTTGGCCAGGAAACTGCTTTGGCTTAGGGGAGTGGTGGGTGTACGAAGATTTGATAGATTTTGCTCGCAAAAGTAGCATAATATGCCACTTGAAGTGCTCATATATTAGCGGAGCTCTTTCGCGCGCGAGGCGCGCACAGCGTAGCACTATGGGTAAGAAAATTTAGTTTTCTACCCATCCGAGAAAATTTGGTTATGACATCAGCGTTCTCCGTCCGTCCGTCCGTCCGCACACCCTTTGGGGGTAAGAGAAGGGAATCAGGTTTTACACTACTGAAAGACAGTTAAGACCCGATAGTCCTCGCAGTACTGGTAACTTATCTTTTTTTCTCTCTGACTAAAGAAAAGGCCAAAATGAAAACTGAATCAGGCGGGATTTTTTTGGGTGTTCGCTACAAGTTTACGTTACAAATCTGGTGCTGGTAACGCGTAAACCAGCCTTTTTACATCACCTCCGAGGTAAACAAAACTATCAGGCGTTGTTTGTTTGTCGTTCAGACCTAGGAGAAAATTACTTATAATTCTGCAGTTTTTATATATCTTTATAGAACAATCTTACAGGACAAATTACACTCATTCAATATTCAGGACAATTGAAGCAAGCGCTTCCCTTTTCCACAACAAATTAAGCTTATAAAAATAACAACAACATAAAACGTTACAAGTATAGAGAGAATGCAGCATAAGACGGGACTGTTTAGTCAGGTCATTCTACTGTTATGTAATTATGCAGCGTATTAAATAATCGGCTTTGAGCAAAAACTTTCGAAAACATCTATTTTTAATAGAATTTTCAAAATAACCCGTCCGCTTAGCCACTTCTGGATTTTGCCAAGCTGAGTCCAAACTTCCAGAGCGAGCTGTTGGGTGTTTCAATGAACACAAGTACGAAGAGGTCTCAGAATCATTTTCGTGTTCATTTTACTTCTAAACTCCATGTGTCCATATGCCGTTTCGACAAGGACAACCAGGAACTCGGAAATGCTGAGAATAACACCCTTCCGCACTGCTAGGGGCCAAATATAGAGTGACGTCCCTTTGGAATAAGTAGCAACCTGCAGAGCTCAAACTAAGCGAAAACGTTAAAGGTTTAAGCGTCAACTTAGACAACCTTCTCTGGACGCCTCCTTCAGTTAGTTAATTATTTTTCGTGTTTGTAGCTTTCTGTGTTTAATATCATTACTGTAACATTGACTCCGAAAAGCCCTCTGGGGATGAGCCAATAAATAAGTAGGACTGTATGTATGTATTTGATACACGCGACATTTTGAGTTCTCCTGCATGCAATATTCATGTACTAAATATTCTTCAGAACGACTTCTTTCTAGTCGCAGTTAGAAAATTTCTCAAGACTTTATAAATTCTATTCTAGGTGAGATCATTGTCTCAATTCTTACAAAATTAATTTGTCGGCGGTTAAAAAATGCTCGACTTCAAAACTTTATAAATTCTATTCTACCGGTCGAGATCATTGTCTCATCAAGTAAATTTAAGGATTACAAAATTAATTTTTTTACGTAAATTACGTTACGGCAAGAAACAAATGCCCCGGATTTAGGGGACGACTTCAATAAAAATGAAACCAGAAAAAAAAATTTAGGAACCTATGCAAAACATTTCTGGTCCTTCGAGCCGGATAAAGTGGATTAAATGGAATTTTCAAAGGAAAACGGTCTTGGACGTGGAGGATTTGTGTCGCGTGAGTTGACAGTAGTGTTGACCAAAGGTGGAAATTTGTAGATTTTACTCGTGACAACGAAGAAGATTCAGCCAAGACCGTAAGTGAAAGGGAAGCAAAAGAATCGTTGAAAATTTTTAGCAACCCTTGCTGGCGTCAGCGAACCATCCAGAAGAAATTGAAGAAATTAAAGCTACTTTGGACTTTGGAAAAGATTAAGTTTAAATTTTACGGACATTGTAAAACCTAAGGAGAAATAGGGCTTACTTTTGTTTTATTTTTCAACCCTCTTAGGCATCCATAAGCACTCTTATTTTGAATGCTTACAAAACCACAAACCAAAAACGAACACGCCAGCCAAGAGTAACAAACGAATCTTTATAGCAGCTCTATTTGAGTAGATCCAGTGAAAAAAGACGGTTAAAGCATAATAAGATGACATAAAACTCTGTCGGTTTCAGCTATCAGAAAACAAGTCTCCAGATGGAGCATAGACACTTCTCTTCGGCGATCCTCTTCGCTAGCTCTTCGCCTGATAATTCTCGCTCTCTGCCTTTCTCTTCTTTCTTTTTCCACTTATAAGCAAATACGTTGAATTTAATCCGCTATTGTTTGTTGCCACAACAATGTTTTCAGCGGTCACGGTCACAAAATCTTTATGCTATGAAATACTTAAAAACAATTTCCTAAAGTAAACAAGTTTTTTGCAGCGACGACAATGGTCGCACCATTTCTTGCGCGGTTTCCCGCCAAGAAAAAAGGCGCGGGTCAAGTGCATCGCACGATTTCCCGGCAAGAAAATATATCATACTCCTCCCCCTGAAGGGTGGACACCTGATTCCCTTCCCTCATCTCCAAAGAGCGTATGGACAGACGAAGTACGCTTACGTCATAACCAAACTTTCTCGGATGGGTAGATAACTAAATTTTCTTATCCATGGTGCTCCTCTGCGCACGCTTCGCGTGTGAGAGAGCTCCGCTATAAAAAACAACGATTGTTTCTGCGAGGAAGACACCTTCTTAAAATCTAAACGATCGCGTGGGTGCTTCTCAGCACAAGTATTGATGGATACTGAAAAGCGTTGCCTTGTTTTCTTTTGTTTTATTATTATTATTATTATTTAATTTTTATCTTTTCCAATTCAATGAACCTGGAACGATTTCTAACCATTTGCAAGACCTTTATGACGTCATAAGGAACCTTTCAGCATTCTGCTAAAAACTCAAATCAATTTAACTTGTAATCGGAGTGTCACTAAAATATTCGTTTAATTTTACTCAGTGGCTCACTGGCGGGTGTCTTTCGCTACTTCGGAAGCCCTATAACTTTAAATGATCATGGATTCACAGATGGGAAATAACGTAAATTAAATTCGTTTGACCCGGAGTAAAGAAATCAGTAAGGTAAGATGGTGAAAATTTTCTTTCTGAGCTTCACCTTTTCACAAAAGGAAACAAAGTTTACAATATTTGAATAAGACGAGGTTGTTCTGTTTAATAAGTAATGAAAAGTAAAGTTATGTATTTATATAACTAATATTGGTTCAATTAAAATCATTGAGTTTGCCATCGTTCGAAATTTTAGTTCAAGCAACCTGTCTATGGAATTCGCCCACCCTATGTCTAACAGTTTTCAAGTTAGCTTTCGTTACGGAATTACTAACACCCATAAGCCGACATTAAGGAAGCGTTAGAACGAATCATGAAATATTCTTCTTATAGCTCATAATATGACTACTATGGTCTTCATTCAAACAATACAAGGTGAGATTCTTTGATTTTTATACTCTCAAGGTACTTATACGAACAGGTAATTATAAATATCATCAAGAAAAAAATATCCAGGTATATGAAAATTGTATTATACATTTTTCTGAATTATAAGTTTATTAAACCTCACCTTCTTTGGTAACTAAATTTTCTAAATACTTTTTGTTATTATTTTCGTTTAATCAGTATGATTTTAAAGGTTTGTAAGTGGACGTGACATATTTCTTCCAGACTTTGCGTTTTCCATTTCTCTTTAAATATTTTCCCCGTATGTCAGAAATACATTTGCATTCTTTAACTCTTTTGTGGTCTGTTTGTCGAGAATGAAATCAGCCATTCCAGATGTTTGTGGCTCAGATTTAGTTTCCATGATCCATTAAACACTCCCAATATATATCTATTTTTTTCTCCTTTAAGAAAGAAACATAATATCCCCATTGTTGTGCTGATATGAGCCGCGAAATTGAGACAATGAAAATATAACAAGGTAAACTATCATTAAAACTAAAGATCTTACAATGAGTAATTTTATTTTTCTTGCCGCCCTTTAAAATATTCTCTATTGAAGAATACAGGCAAACAACGCTTATTTTTTTAAAAATATATTCACTAGAGACGGCAAGAAAACAGGATAAACTGTCATGCCGTAAAATGAAGTATTTACCTAATTTCGCTAGATGATTTATTATATGGCTTAAAATCAATTTATAACAACTGTAATGAGCCAATAAAAAAACTTTTTCCTTTATTCGGCATGAAAACAACACGTTCCACTTGTAATTCTAAGAGAACTATGAGTGACTTTTCTTGAGGTTGCAAGGAGTATTCAGCGAATCTGAATATCAATCCTTGCACAATGTAGAGCACGCAATTTAATTGTCCAGCCAAACGAATGCAATGCCATCCAAAATTGCTGGACTTTGTTAAAAACGAGCGGCAACCGAACGTCGAATCCAAAATAACGAGTCCAACGTGTTGGACCTCCTAAGCAGATTTTTTTTTTGCCTATTTATTTTCCACGTCATTGAATTAATTTTCAATACACTTTTTCCTCCTCCTACGCAGCCTTTTCCATTATAAAATGTAAACACAGTGCGGGGCCACAACTCTTGTAAATTTAAGATAATTTTGTGTGTGTATTTTGTATAAATGCTACCCTTTTAATGCAGTTTTTGCTATTTGTGGGAAGTGAGAAAATGATATTGTAATTAATATTAATTGACCAATAAAAATGAATGAATGAATGGGAATTAATGAATGAACAAATGAACAAATGAAACCACCTCTAAAGGTGTAATCAAAACTGATTTAAAGTACACTGCTGCATTTCGTATTATTCCTTGGCCAAATTTTTTTTTTTCAAATGTACAATTGAACTGGGAGAAAACAACTATCAGCTACCATTTCTATGTACTACGGAAACAAAGTTAAGAGTATTTCAATTTAAATTTTTGCATAGAAGGATAGCTACAAACGACTTCCTTCTTAAGATAGGCAAAGAGCTAGGAAACAGACCCATGTTATTTTTGAACGGATTCCAGAGACACTTACACATTTCGGATTGTAGATCATCTCAGATATTTTGGAATAATGTATCGCAGTGGACCTCGAAAATCTTGATCTGAGAAACATCACTCCCTACTCACCAGCTCTTTGCCTCGGCTTGATTGACAATGCAACTAATATCTACTCCTACGTCACTTCGTCCTTATTGCTAGACACTACGAATATATATACTTGCAAACCCCGGGCTACTTTCAAACAATGCCCCTCAGAAAGAATAATTTAATCTATACACAACGAAATAAGGTGCAAGCGAGAAACGGGCAGATGGGGAATGGAGGACAAAAACGCAGGTAACCTTTTTGTGTTTGAAACAAAACTGAATGGATTCGAAGGCCGGCACTACAGCAAATGGCTCGTTTATTATAGGCCAATATTTCTGCTAACAAAATTAGCGTTCCTCAGGGCCAGAGCCATAACGAGAGAAAATACCTTTTAACGGCTCCTAAAATTTACATCAAAATTTACATACTGTAAGTGGTTGATAATTGACTACAATCATAAATATTAGATAGAATAATATACAGGTAAATTATTATACAATAAAAATAGAAATAGAAACAGTGTTTGTTATTATAGTCGTTTTGTGGACTTTGTTTTTCTATTTTATTTTTCCTTATTTCTCTTTTTGAAATTAGAGAGAGCGTTTTGTCGAGTTACGACTCCTTTGCTCCTCGCGGTAAAATAACCTATGTCTATATATGTCTATGTCTATTTTAATGTAAGATAAATTTTAGTAACCGATAACAAACAATTATTCGACGAGGTTTTTGTGATACCCAGAATAATCAAGGTCGAGGAAGGAGTTATCAGCCGAAGCCGAAGGCTGCGGCCGATAACCCTTACCGAGACCTCGATTTTTCTGGATATGACAAAACTGAATCTAATAATTGTTTTATTATACATTGAACGAAAAAAAATGGTCACGACAGTAAGTGGAACTGATAATTTATTTCTAAACGTGGAAAAAGAACCTCAGGTTCTCTCAGTTTTTTCTCTTTCACGTAATCAGCAAACAGCTCCTTTGCCACCTTCGTCGACCTTTTTGTGTTTTGTGAGTCTTGTCTTCAACTATTTTTTCGGTCTTGCTCAATCAACGAAGCAAACCTGGAAGTCATGTTTTTGCTTCTTCACTGACGGTAAGCAACACATAGCGCGCGAACTTGACGTGATTATCCTTGGAAATTCCCAGACGCTGATTTCGAAAATTCACTGAACGCTTTCGGCCAATCAGAAAAGAGATAGTGAGTTGAATGTATAATAATATGTCTAATTTCACACCCTGCGGGGGCCTGGCACTACCGGATTTTCCCGGACTTTTTAAAAAGTCCAGTTTCAAAATGGCGGATAGTCAGAGGATAGTCCGAGTAAAAACTCGAACGAAAGCATTCTTCTTCGAAGAAATATTGATCAATATTCCCTCGCAGAATCTGCCTAAACTTAGTAAGGAAAGGACCCAGAACTTCTGTCATGCCCTGAAGCTAAACTTAAGGAGCCGAAGCTCAGCCGCAAGTGCAAGCGATTTTTCGATGAACGGCTTGTTCGAACCAAAGATAATTATAAATTTTATACAGCAAAGGATCCTCTGTTTAATTCTACCGGCTTCTGTAAAGTAGAGGATCGTTGCAGGCAAGAACACAGATGTGATTGTGTATGTACCGATCGTAACCTAAGTATGCTGGAGCAAAACTTAAAAGGGCAGTATGGTAGGGCTTACCTGGATTATTCCCGTCGCGGAAAAGAGAAATGTCCGTGAAAGGTACCGAATGTAGTGAACTTTGTGGCTTTATATATGTTAAAGTTTAAATCACATGCAGGAGAATAAGGGACCAGTCTATACTCAGTGCATGCTAGCCCAAAGGTAGAGGTACGTGACATTAATTCTTGATTGGATTACAAGGTGATTGCCCAAATCCCAAGGTGATTGCCCAAATTGTAGACCCAATAAGTTCCAAAAAGAGGAAGCTCAACAAGTGAGCCCTTGTAAGCCATTGCCATTTGACATTCTATCAATGAATTTATACATGTCAGCGTAGTGTCTAAATTACTAGAATTGCAATGTAACTGGAAGGTACAGAATCACACACACGCAGGGGCCTAAAAAGAAACTATATACTATATACAATTTATCCTCGAAAATTACTTGTGTTTTTTAACATTGCTCAATGCATGAGGTCTGGTCACAGGAACTGCAATGTTACCGGACGAGAAATGCCTCTCTTGTAAGACTGAAGTATACTTGCTTTTATCTATGTTCAGTGAGAATTGTCTCAGGTCAGATCTTCACGATTTTTTACTGAGACCGTACGCAGCGACGGAGAGAAAACCTAATGTAAACCTTGCGGAGCTAATACGATGTTGCCCTTTCACTCAGGGTCACTCTGGTGTGTTTCGCTTTCAAGTTGGTAGTCTTTATTTTACGGTTTGTAAAAACAGGTACACCCACTCCCCTATCATTCCCCAATATTCGGTCGGATCCAGCGCCTTAAAAAAAGCTAAAGCGACGGTTCTTTGTTCAAATTTTTTGTCGAACAAATCGGGAATCCTTCCAATACTTCCAAGTAGCGAAAGTCTCCGATTAGATCTTTCTTTTCTCAAGGTTTTAAATCGACGATCTTCATAGCAGTAAAGCAACTGTTCTTTGATGTAGAATATTAAGTTTCTGGAGTAATCTGGCCCGTAATATCGTTTTAACTGCACACAGTGCTCTTTGTTTTACTGTCTGTTTTGGAAGCCATTTTGAATCCTGAATTTAAAAAGTCCGGGAAAATCAGGTAGTACCAGGCTCCCGCGCGGTATGAAATTAGGCAATTAGACTTAATTGCAATGAATTGTAAATTTCTGTAATGATTTGTAATTGTCTGTTCGTAAAGAATTAAAAAAAAAAAAAAAACATCGTGAAGTAGAAGCGGTAGTGAAAGATGCCAGCTCCACATAATGGGCTCCTGACTTCAGTTCATCTTATAATCATGCGCAGCAGAGATAGCGACAATAGGTACCTACACGACAGATCACGTAACTTATAATTAACGTTTACAATATTTACTTTAAAATAGGGAAAGGATAATGAAAGAGCAACAAGTTCTAGGTATATTTCAGAGGCTTTTAAAGAGGTTCTGAAAAATTCGCCTTGTATGTGTGTTTACGTGATGTAGGAATCCATGAGGAATCGGTAAATACAGGGGACAGGGTCACTTGACTTGTTAATTAGTTAAATAGCTAAAAGACTAAATAACATTTTCAATCATAAAAGGCGAATTTACGATTTACACTGTTTAGCAACATTTTGGTGATGAAAATTCCTAAAATTGACGAGGCAATGTCACGTGTTATTTGAAATCACGTTTTACGTGCTTTTTTATTGAGCCACATTTGTAGTTAGCCTGAATTTCATCCGATTACTTCGAGTCGTTATTACTCCCTCAGTTGAGAGGAGAAAACGACTCGAAGCAATCGGATGAATTTCAGGCTACATTTGCAGTTCGCTTTTCAGGATCACTGATGGAAGCAAATCGCGGTTAAATAGCATTTTGCAAAATATGCGTATTTTTAATTAATTAGGTAATCATGCCTTAAGTTGCCTGAGGAAAAATCAAAAAGGAAAAAAAAGTAAGACGAAAAATCTTAAAAATGAAAGCAAATACCGTTTGGAGCCGAAACCTTAAAGAAATCAAATAATGTAAAACTAAAATCAAAGCAAAAATTAAGCAAAAACAGACACACAAAGTATAAACGAAAATACGTCGTGGATACACTGACTATAATAAAAATTGTAGCAAGCTGATTGAAAAAAAAGAGAGAAAATAGATACAAAATGAAAGATCGAATTTCTAATACTTCAAGCAATTAGAAAAAAACGAACGCAAACAAAGAGTTTGAAGGTGAAAAAGTGAAAGCAAAAAGAAAAAAAAAAGGAAAAATGCATACCAAAACAGAAAAACCGAAATAGTACGGCTTAGTTCGCCGCGAATAAACAAAATTTGTTTATGTGTTTTATACTGTACTTATTTTTAGTAGCTTTCCGGCAGAATTTATTCTTTATTTTTTTAATCGTTATTGACTGCAGACTTTTTCTTTATTCTTTCTTTATTTTTAAGTTTGATTTTTTAAATATTACTGTTTCTATAATCTTCTCGTTTTATTAATAATATGGAATGAGTGGTTATCAAATGGGTATTTTGCATGAATGTTTAATTTACATTTCTTGCTCATTTCGTTTTTGTCACTTAATGACTTTGATACGTTAATCTCGGTTGAATGGCAGAAATTAAAATGGATAAGAACATTGTTTATTCTGTCCCATGAACTCTAACGGAATAACATTTCAATTTGTGCCATAGTTACTCCGTTTTAATGTTTGTAGAGGTTGGGAAGTTGTGTTTTCAATCAGATACTCCCAAATACAAACATTGCAATTTATTTACCTTCTGATTACACACTGCCATCCTCAAGGAGATGAAAGAAAAGTAATCCTAAAAACTTTTATAATAAATTTGCATAATAGTTGAAATTCGAACTCAAGCTCGACCCCTCCGGATAAAATGTCTGTTTTTTTTTTACTTTTTTTTTTAATCGCTCGCCGATCAAACGCTTTACAAGCGAATTGTTGATCTTTTAATTCTTGTCTTCCTCGTCTCTGCTTTGTAAATGGGTGAAGAAAATGAAATTAGTAAACACGTTGGCAGAAGAAACTTTTACATCAATTTACCCCCCTATTCTTATGATAATTTGCAATCACACTTCGCGGTACGCAATATGATGTCACTCAGATGTTCATAATTGAGTCCAAGAGGTTGGCGGGCACGAACTTTGCAGAAGTGTTCCGGAAATTTGGTCAATAATGATTGCCAAACTGTTTCTCTTTTGGCTATCTTTAGCGAAGTTTTCATTCGAGCAGCTATTTACCCATTTCGATCTGTACGATGCGGTACATATTTTGCTTCTAGGGGCGATCGGCGTGTGTTTGAAAATATTTGAACGACAGCAATGGATCGGATCCAAAAAGGTTCGATCAAGCATGCGATCTCCCACTTCTCCCGGTACTAAGAAGCGTGGTTCGGTGTCGTTTGCTGCCGGAACAAAGTTTTATCCGATCCAAAGTTACACTCCGGTAGGTTTTTCATTGTTTGGTTATACAGACAAGAGGTTAGCGATCAATAACCCTGAGGCATTAACTTTCATCGAGGACATAACACCAGCGAGGGGTTGATCTCCTCGTACGTAAACGCTTGTATTCAAGCAGCTGTGAAGTGCAGTCTTTCCAAACTTCTCCCCGTTGTCTACTGTATTTTACAACGAGATTTGTAAACATTCTTTTCTTTCATATTATAGGTAAACTGGACACTTTTAAGGAACGTGAGTGCTATGTCAGAAACTTGGAAAGCGCAGCGTTCTTCGTTAAAAATCTCGCTCACCACAGATGATGGAGAAGAAGTGTCAGAAAGCGAGGGCAAAGGAAGGTACGAAAGCTTAATATTTTGTCTTCTCTGTAAAACGACCAAATGCCTTATCATTTTGTTTAGACATCTAGATCGGTAACTTTTGATAAACCTTTATCATAGTGTTTAAAGGGAAAGGAGGACGCTAGTTCTCTGTTTTTTTTTTTTGCTGATCTTTAGCGTTAAGAATCAGCTGCACTAAAGCTTTGGTAAGGCGGATAATTGCCTTAGATCGATATGAACACATTGTGGATTTGTTTACTCACTGTCAGCGATAGTTTTCCAATTTTTACGTGAACAATACCGCTGAACTAGCCAAGTTAACTGACCAATTCCTGAATTTTCGAGTAGCGAAGAAATTTTAAAAATCGACAGGGCCCACCTCCAATCAAAATTGCGCGCGGTTTTGTTCCTGGCACGAAAAAAACGCTTTCATGTGCTCAGCTAGCTGGAAAAAAAATCATGCTGCGGCCGGAAAATGGATATCAGACGGCTATTTTATAGTCTGTTGAGCGTAACCAGGACTCAAATATGTTATTGGAAAGATTTCTTAAGAGAAATGTCGCGACTGTCATATTTTCTTTCATGTTGTTTTCGCTAAACATGCTACAAAAGAACTAAAATTTTAACCATCTACTGTATCTGCGCTTTCTTTAGGAAAGTTTGGATCGTAGAAACATTGTTGTCGAAAAAGCTTGTGTCTCGAAGGAAGCAGGTGTTGTGTGTCTCTGTCAAGGTTATTCGATTCGTTGATTGCTTCTCACGTTACTCCTTTCTGGATTGAATGCAATTGGTTTCATAATAGTTTTCTGGCTCCCGCTAGTGACCGATGTGTGAGCTTAAAATAATTTTATTTCTCATTCAAATTATACACAGCGCAGGTAACTGTAATTATGTCGATGAAGTGTGGTTTTGTGACTTTGTTCAGTCCTTTATTTTAATTTATGCCGAGAGCTGAAGCCTGCAAATTGGTCAACAATAGATGTTTTATTCTTTGAAGTTAAATTGCCCTTTTAGCGATAACCTTTCAAAGTTCGATCGTTGTGTATTTCTGAATGGATTTCCACTTTCTCGAGGTCAAGAAGTTTACGGTTGAATTAAATGTGGATTGCTAGGTTTTGTTATATTAGGGCGAAGAGTTTTGGGTCAATAATTAGCTTTCTGCTAATTTTCGAAAATAAATGGGGTGGCACACTACAAATTGATTATTTTTAAACGTGATAAATGCACAATGATGAATGTGTTAATTTTGCATTGAATCATATCTACCTCGCTGCAAAGCTTATCATTAGAATAAATTTGGTTTTTTTAAACTTTATTTTGTTGTCATCATTTTAAAAGTCAAAATGTGAGGACAAAGATCTCGTAATGAAAACTTTTTCAACATGGCGTCGTATTTACTATTCTTCGCACTGCAAATTTATTAAGAATGTTTCTACAAATTTATTATCATCATTTTTAAAATTAATGTGTAGTCAAAATTTGTGAGGACAAATGATTTGTTCTTCGTAATGAATGTGTAAATCCATACCCCCCACGGAGGGTTGTTTACAGTTTTTCAACATGGCGTCCCTAGGAAATTCCAAATCCATTTAAATAAAATTTAGCTATTTCTTCGCACTGGAACATTATTTATGGAGATATTCATTGCTGGATTTTTTAAAAATGACCGTGGAAATTTCTAGACGTATGAATACACGATTTTGAAATGTTCAAACTGTTTCACTATAGTTCTGGCAGCTGACCTTTCGTCTGCTTAATTGACAAATTTCATTAAAAATCTAAGAAAGTACGGTATCAACTGCTTTAAAAGTTTTGTAATTTATGTGTAGTTTAAACACGAAATGACTATAATATTACATCATTCTTGTTTTGCTGTCAAAGCAAAACTCAGGAATTGAAGATAATTGTATCTCGAAAATTTTATCCACATGTGGTATAATGTAACAGTTTTTGTTGTTTTCCTGTGACCGTGAGTTAAATCCGTCACGCAACATGTTTTTTAAAAACTTTTCGTCTTTCTTCAATAAAGTTGTACGCTTTATCTCTGTAGTTTGTAAATGATAGTAAATTTCACGCCTTAATTTTTTTTAACAATTTCATGTGAATAGTTCATTCCGTAAACAACGAAATGAAATCTTCGCCGTCTCTCATCGCTGTTCACGGTTACAAAAAAAATTATGCTTAAAACAAATGGTGTCTATAAATATTGTTAATAACTTTTCTTGGTTCATTTAATTATGTGGAACGATTTTATTTGCATTATTCCACATGTATGAAATCTTACCTGATTGCTTACTAATAGCAGGCAAATAAACATTATTGGTTTTTTGATAATAATTTTTTTCCTTGTAGCAATATAAGTATTGCAGGATTTCTCTGTAACATTGTTTAGTGTGTTTTTCAGTTTAAGGAATGATCAGTTGCACGTACCTTTAAATACAAGTATTGTACATACATTTGGATTATCCCATTGGCTTTTTTTGTAATAAATTAAAATGATTATCATGATACCGGACACTTGACTGAAAGGAACTTCAAAAAATTACCACAAAGTTGCAATGCCGACTTGACTTTCAACCAATGAAGCGAACCCAACTTTCGCTTTTGAAAACAAGCCAGGAAATGTTTTTATTCCAACATTTGAGAAATGAAAGGTTCAAGCACACCAGAATGGAACAAATCCCTGTTTCTTATCCAAAAACCTGATAGAGAAAAAGAACCTATTCACACTTGATCATAGTTTACAAAATGTACAAACATTTGCATATTTCATACCAAGAGTATTGACTTTCTAATGTGAAAAATGTGTATAAATATTTCATATAGGAGTCTAATTGAATTAGTGGACGTTTTCAACACAAATTTGTAGGCGATTTGCCTTCCTTGCAACACTTGTGCAGAGATCTTTTTTCATGGGTTAAATAAACCCAACAAATTTGACAGCTCCCACTGTATAAGTGTTTATAACTCAGCTGGTAGAGCACTGAGCGCTAACACAGAGGCCTACAATAGTTTCGAATCCTTTTGAAGCCCTAAAATTTTTTGTTGGGTTAATTTGCAATGGCTTAAATTGTTGATTACAACTACAATGATCATATCCTCATTCAACACTTTAAGCCCCAAAAGATCCACATGCAAATTCTCCACACTTATCTCCATACATTTCTTCTAAGAATAGTTGAGAGAATTTGGTTTGAGATCAAAGCACTCTCCCTTTGGTAATCAATTGAGTAATTCTCATAACCTTTATTCTTGTTGATAAGCGGATGTTGTCAGGAGAAAATTGATATTAGTCACTCTTGGGACCTAAAGGGTTAAAGTTCACCTTGTTGAATGTTGTGGTACATGTTACAAAGGCAGCAGATTAAACAGTTGGGTCAGTCACTAAGACCTATAATGTAAATTCTTTGTAATTGTATCATTGTAATTGTATAACAACAAAACAATACATGGGGAAAACCAATTTAATATACTCTGGACTTTGAACATTTTTTGGAAGTGCATTGAATGATGTTGTGGGTTGTATCCCTACTACAGATTACAACCATTGGCTACATGTAGGACTGCTGTTCCCAGTGATTGTGCCAAGTCTCTGTTAATGTGTGGACCCTTATTTCTCCAAATCTAATATTCACATTTTTAAGTCAACAAGATCCATTAAATGGATCTTGTCTTGTTTCTCATTTCATTATTCCTTCCTTTACTTAATAGCGTGAGAACACAGCTGACATTTTCATGACACCACCATTAGTTCCCTCGCGAAATGACGTGTGGGAAAGAGCGCCGAAATTCCATACGACAATGCGGTATTTTTAATGCTGTACTCTAAGATAAATTGAAGGGAGCCCATTGCTCTGAACCTGTGAAATCTAGGGTGCCCAGCATATGGTTTGTATGGAAAAAATAAGATTTCCTTGTCACCCAAGAGCAAAAGTTCCATGTGTGCTGTAGTCGCCATGGGTCACTGGGCACCATTAGTCGTCTAGGGGGGTCCTCCGGATTTTAGATGATAGGGATGATCAAATGGGGGCAAAAATCAAAACCCAAAAAAATCCCTGGACCAAAATTTAACCCCCCCCCCCCCCCCCCCAAAAAAAGTCCCATGCCGAATTTCCTAGCCGTAAAAACTTCCAGAAAACATTATGATGTAACAAAGAAAAAAATGCAAACATTAGTTTTGAGTACCCAAAAAAAATCCATACTTAAATCAAGCGACCCCAAAAAAATCCTTCGATCACCCCTGTCATGTGCAATCCAAAGTACCCCCCTGAGGTTAGTCAATCATCACAACTTGATTTTTATGTGTAAAAAGCCAGGTCAGTGTTTTGCAGAGGGGTACAGACAAATCCCTGATTGTACCATCAAGTTCAAATTAATTCTGAAAAAGTGGTAATTATGTTCAATTTTATTTACTGAAATTGCACCTAGACAGAAAACAACAGCAACAACAATCACAAATTAGCAAAAAAATTCTCTACATTTGTGACTTCTTCACTTATGTCTTATCTCACTGTGCTCTCAGCAAAATAATTGTTATTGTTATATTTTTTGACTAATGTGGAGTAGTTTGTCATGTTCTTAATGAAATTAATACTACAGTACCAAGTTGATGGAACTTTAAATAACATTGTTATTTATTCATTTATTTATTTCGGCACCTTATTAGGACATAGTTAATAAATCACAGGAATCTGTTAGAATAATGGCAAGAAAGTCCAAAGAAACCATGAAGCTTATACAATGCGGGCTTTCCCTATTAATTTACGTACAAAAGATAAACTTTAAATATTAATTTAACTGAATGGCGAAGGCAGAGTAACAATAATACGAAGAAATAAGGTATAAAAAAAAAAAGATAAAAATGAAAAATAGATTAATAAACAAAGTCAAAACACAAAGCTGACAAAAGGGGATTGAGGGAAAGGAACAAGTTAAGTAAGAAGGTGTTTCCTCAGTTTTTTCTTTAAAGTTGATATGGGAAAGTCTTATGCTTTTTTTATTATAAAAGGTAAAAGTAGATGTTTTTTCACTTGTTTTACTTTCTTCTGGATTAAGAAGTTAACTTAAAAATAACATTTATTATTCAAAGTTGATGAAAGTTGTGAGTACACTTTTCAGCAATGTAGTGTATAATTATTATCATGAAATCTCTTCCTACAGCGTGTGCTTTGTTAAGCACAATATCATAAAGCCTGCGAAAAATAATCAATGCTGTAACCATTCTAACACACAAAAAGCATTATTTTAATCTTACTGAAAAGTTTATTTACCAAACATGTGGTTTTCTTTATTTTGCTACACTGTATTTTGTCAGTCTTGTATCAACTAATAGTGTTTTCTTTTATCGTTTAAAAAAAGTTGTTGAGCTAGGTCAGATTGTGTTTTCTTTTCTTTTGTTTTCCGTTTTCTTTTTTTAGACCTTTTTGTTTTGTTTTTGTTTTGTTTTGTTTTTTATTTTTCTAAATATGAGCTTTAGGAGTGAGCAGTTATGTTATATTGCCCGTACATTTAATCTGTTTGTTTTTCTGCACATAACATGTTTTCCATGTTTTGTTATTGTAATATACACACATGCACTTGTCCTGTGGGGATTCAAAGTACTTTTAAAACAATAGCCTTTGTGTTTTTCACTTGTGTTCATGTATCTTAGCATTTGGCAGTTGTTAATTGCAGTGCCATATTACTGGTGGACAGAGAATGTTGTCAGTTTCTCCTGTATTATTCTGTGTGTTAAAAGTGATTAACTGGATAGTAAAGGACAGAAGTAACGCTTAAAATGTCATGAAACCTCATGGATGTCTTAAAACCTGAGCAAGGGTCTTGTATTTTTAATTCATTGAGAATTAATAATCATTAATTGGTTATCCATTGATAACTTGAAGCTTGCTTAAGAATCTCTAATGCTCTGAAGCAATTTACACTTGCCTGAATGTAAACAACAAAGCTTTTGTGGACATCAGATTTGCATACCAGCTAAGCTACGTTTTTTTAACCTTGAACATACTTCTGGTTGTCAACACTCGTTGTTCTTGAATTTTCTGCTGACAAAAGAGTTAATGATCCAGGTAATTGTCAATGTGGTTTTCAAAGCCAGTGAAAAGGAATAAAATTAGGTTTGAGCATTCCAGTCAAAACTTATTCAGTTTCTATGGTACAAAATTCATAAATAATGCATATGCTGGTGTTTGTACCTTCTATATTCATTTCAAGGTTGTTTGATTGTTCTGTGCGGCCGCTAGATGTTGGAAAATTGATGGTTTAGTGGAAGCTACATGTACATGTAGCACTCATTCCAAAGCATCATCTCTGTTTTCATTTGAAAGGCATTGTACATTTTCCTTGTGTCTTCATGACTGTCTTATGTGTAATTTATTCAAGAGAAAGAGCTACCTGCATTATTTCTGTAATAACTCTGGTAATTATTGTCTCAATAAACTTCCCATTCACAGATATATATACATATTTTTTTTCCAAACTCATGAAATTCTAAACTGCTGGGAAGATGAAGAAAACAGACTGAGTTAGCTTGTAAAATTTGCCTTTAAAGAAGGAAAAGCCATTAAACATTTTTGACATAATATTAATAATAATGCGGCTTTATTATGCAGGTCTACTACCGTCGTTCTCAAACACAGCTGCCATTTTCAATAACAATAGGCCTACTTCCATATATGGAAGAGCACTGTGTCTGCTTGAAGTATAATCCTACTGTAAGGAAAATATTCAGCCAAAAATCAGAAGAAGAATGACTATTATATGCTGCTACTTAGTTCTATAATTTGAACAATATTAGAAGGAAGGTTGGAAGACAACATGTTGAATGGAAATTCAACAGGAACAAAAAATGAGAGGGAAATTCAGCAAAGTTACCACCTGGCCTAATGCTAATAGAATACATAAGTATGGGGGCCGTTGGTTCGAAGAAACAGACCTCCACATGGTATTTACAAGTTTCTATTCCATTTTTTCCACTTCTGTTGCCTTCTCTACCCATTAATCTGTGTTTAGTAGGTTATTTCAGCTCTTAAAATTTCTTATCTGCCGGAAGATAACCTGTGTTGTACATAAAATTGGCGCTGATTGCCACAAGGATGCATGTGTTTTGAGCTTGTTATTTTGTGCTAAACATGGCTGACATTTTGAGTGAATGTACAAATTTTAATTTTAGTGCAACATCTGGCTGTTTGTAACTACCAGACCATGTTTCATCCTCTAAAGCTTAATTTTTTTGTCACTAATCAAAACAAGTCATGTGTGAAGTACAAGTAGATTTCTCAAGAAATGGTTCAATGTGTAATATTATGTTAAATTGGATGCATGTTCAAGCCAAAGATTACATACTTCACTCAAGACAGCTTAATAATTTTGCAATTTTGGCTGACCACAAACTGAAATTCCTTGGGTAGGAAAAGGTTGTACTTGTCAAATTGTACTCCTTGTTTAAGATATCCACATAAAGGTTCAGGAGCAGGTGATGCTAGATTTTACATTAATTTTATGTTGCAAATCTTGTGTTTCTGAATATGTAAACTACATCATATATACATTGGATTTAGTAAGGCTTGATTTTCATGCAAAAAAACTGTATTTACAATTTCTGCTTGTGAAGCAAAGCACTTTTTACACATCAAAATACAGTAACTTTCAATGGTTCCGCTCAGTGAACACAGGGATAATACGTGTAGTTGCTGTACTCCTAGACTTATCAGACGTGTTTTAGAATTGTACTAATTTGCATTTTTTGTCAGATATACCTCTGTGTTGTATTTATCTTGATGCTGATATAAAGTTAGGGCCCAGCTGGAACACATTTCCTTTATTTTTTCTCCCTCAAATTATGAGTTAAATTTTCATCAGGTCAACATGTGTATTTTTTTGCGTATTTTGTGTATAGAAGTGTACATTCAAGGAATATTTTTGTGAAGGTTAAATGTTATTGTCTGAAATTTAATACCAAAGACATGAAAAGCATTTCATTTAAACAGAGAGCATTCTATCAATCCCTTGGCCATCCTAGTGTTTAGTGACATTGAAAAATGGGATATACCTGTAGGAAGCTATTTCAGCCTGACTGGGGTAGTTTTTAGCTTTGTAAATCAATTGTTGTAGCTAAACCACATAACAGATTTGAAACATCATCATTTTGCTGATTGATGAAGCACTTTACTTAGAATAAACACACATAAAAATCTGTTTTAATCATCCTTTTTTGTGTTTATTTACATATACTCAGGGAAAAATCCTGAAGTTTACATCAAAGGTTGAAACATTACAGTAGCAGACAGCCATAAAATACCAATATAAACCATTGAATAGATACATGTAGTTGTTACACAAAGCAGTGATCTAAGCACCTATAATGACTTCAATGTTAAAACCACCTTGTTCAGCATAATAATTTACAGTTGTATATACATGTATAGAGCCCATGTCAGAGTAGTCTTGTTCAGTGTCTTTAATTTGAATGGTCAGATTTCATCTGCAAACTCAAAAAGTTAAAACCACCTCCATGATAAACATAATAATAAACAGTACCATGGAAAAGTAATGTTCAGCAGGGTTGTCAAAAGTAGCTGGCTGCTGGTGAAAATCACCGCCTACTTGGTTAGTTTCGGCCATCTACTCTGCTTGGCATTTCTTTACGGATGGCGTTTTTTAAATAAAATATCCCTGGACTGGCTGCTTACTTTGACAACTCAGTCGTCTACTATACCATGGAAAAGTACTGTTCAGTAGGGTTGTCAAAAGTAGCCAAGTACGTAGGTGGCAAAAATCGCCACCTACTTGGTTAGTATCAGCCAGTTACTCTGTGTGGTATTTTTTAACGGATAGCGCTTTTTAAATAAAATATCATTTAAATAGTGTGCTGATGACAAGGTCAAAAACAATTTCCCCTTTAGAAAGAAACTTGAAATTATAGAAAATGCAATGCCCGATTTCTTTAGTCTTCGAGGTAACGTTACACAAAACTACTTGGTTTTGCACTGGACAGGTCTTCAAAAATTTTTGCCAAAAATTGCTGCTTCATTTATTCTTGCGCCATGTGTTTCTAGAAGCATAAGACAAGAATGGCATACCACACAACGTTATTCGCATTGGCAGGAAACGAGACATGGCTGGTCACTTACTTTTGAGCTGTACTGTACCTGTCAAAGATTTAAGATTAGACAGTTTGAAGAAAGTGTTTGGTGTCACCTTGACAGAACCTAAGGAAGACTTCCACCCTGGGGTCGTGATATTTTGTCGTATTAACCAGTGTGCAAAGGAAGTAGTATCCGATAGTGCAACTGAAGTTTTTTGAGGGGAATTCAAATTATAGAAGAACTCTAATCAATTGTACTCATCCAAAAAAAATTTTCGGACTAGTTAAAAAATTAATGCCTGTTGGGCTAGTACTTGCAAGCTACAGCTAGTCGTATCATCACTTTTTGACTACATACAAAATTAAAAAACCTTTCTTAACTTTGCATGACAGGTATGATTTACCAATAGGTAATACCACAAGCGATATTTCAAAATTGTTATACGTAATTTCAGGAGCTGTTGGGCAAGTGAAATTTGAGACAATTTTGAAATATCATAAGTAGTATTTATACTGAATATCACATACAAATCATGCTATTATGTAGGTATTTCAAATTAAGTAAGTATTTCAAATTAAGCTGAAATACCACTGCTCTAAGCCAATCAAATTGCAGAAATTTCTCATGTAGTAGTATCAACTACAGTAATATTTTGGTAGAATAAGAAAATGGCTTTTCGTGGCAGTGAAACCAGTCAATTAAATTGGTGGCCTCCACACTGTACTTATAGTGGCATGTGTTATTACAGTGTGATATATTCTCAATTCTCTGTTTTTCCCCCGGCAGCTTTCCAAGGAAGCGTGAACGCTCAAAGTATTCTTCTCAAGGTGAAGATTCCGTTGAGAGATCTGATGGGGACAGACTTACTCTTCAAGTTCCCACCCAGCGAAGAGAATCATTCCTTTATAAATCAGACAGTGAATTTGAGCTTGCATCCAAGTGTGTCACATCAAGACACCATTCTTTCAGCGAAGGGTAAGTAACAGGGGCTCTGGTTGCAAAACAGTGGAGAACCATTCACTTAAACCTGCTTAACCTTCAACTCCCAAGGGTGACCAACATCAGTGTTCTCCAAATAGTATCATTACATAATCAAGAGAAAAGGTTGCGAGAAATAATCTAATGATCACCTAAGGGAAAATGCTTTGATCTTTTATCAAATTCTCTTAACTAATTCTATAAGGAAATTATTTATGAAGTCAGGAGAATTTGTTTGTGGATATTAGGAGTTAAAGGGTTTAAAATAGAGTTTGAATGAACTGAACATCGCACATCACATGTGGCATCAAAAATGATGCAACGTGCCCCAAAAACATTTTCATGCTTTCTCCTGATGTGTCCCCTATAGATAATCGGCAATATCAGTCAGTGAAATAATCAGAATGGTCTAGGATGCTGCCAGTCGTTCAGAATTTCTCTTTTTTTTGCTTGGCAGACAATAATAGATCAGGAAGAGATGGAAAAATCTTTGATTGTCTGGTATTTTCGTTACGTAACGGTCTCTACTCAAAGAAAAACCAGTCTTGCAAAACACTTAAGTATGCAGACACACCAATACTCTGTTTATTTCTAATTTTTGTTTTGCAGAACCAGAGTAGAAGAGTTAGTCACTCCATTTGCACAGATCCTTTCAAGTTTGAGAAATGTTAGGAACAATTTCATGTCACTGACAAATGCTAAAAAAGAGAAGTAAGTTACGTTGTTTTTTATTTTTAAATAAATTTTTTCTCTTGTAGGCCGGGTTCAGACGCCAAACTTTTCATGAGCCGAATGTAATACATTGAATTAAGTACGTGAAAAGTTCGGCATCTGAATCAATAAGGAAAGCCAGTTTCTATTTGGAACGGCTCAACCGTTCTTTTTGCCTAGCCTGGCCAAGAATTTCGCCATTGGAGCGACTTTGGAACGGCTTTGATCATGTACCTAACCTAATGCATAAATTATTATAACGTATTTTGTAAGCAGTTTGACCGAAATGAGCATTTTTCGCCTTTTGAACTTAGTTCATCTGCAATTAAGATCGGTGTCTGAATCAATTCAGCCGGTAATAGTTTGGGTTGGCCTTAATTCAAATTAGGTTGGGCTCATGAAAAGATCGCCATCTGAACTGGGCCTTAGTTTTTATATTATTCAAGTGCATTTTTATTTTGAATCGTTAATCTAGTAGCAAATCATTTACTTTGTTATAGAGTACACAGGGCTGTCACTAGCATTTCAAGGTGCTGGGTATTTAACAAATCGATGACAATAATTATTTTCCATGGTCTAGTATACTCTTATCAACCATGAAATTGATGTCAACATGTTCGAAACTCAAGTGGAACTACAAGTCACAGGGGAGTGGTTTCACTGCAAAGTTTTGAACATTTTGACATCATTTTTATAGTCAATAAGAGTATTAAAGACAGTGGAAAATTGCTGTCATTGACAGTTTTTTAAGTCCGTTTGCTTTGAAGGTTTCCAGAAAATTGTTTGTATGAGAAAGAGAAAAACAAAATTGCACCACCATCGTGCCATTTCCATTTTCTGTACTCTGATTGAATATAGGTCTCGACCAATCAGCATGCTCCTGGCCCTTAGTGACAGTCCTGGCCCAAAAGTGTGATTTCTCAAGTATTAGGATTTGTGATATTATGGGATTTGTTGAGATCATCTAGTAGAGCAAGATGGCTCCATACAAATCCTTCTAAATTTGACTTGGACCATGTACGTTTTGATCAGAGCCAATTTTAAAATGATTTGCAGGGGTTTCAATAAGCACCGACGACTGGCGAAATGTGTCGGCTTCTCTGCTTAGAGAAGTCAGCTTCTTTTTTTTTTTCGAAAGAAGAAGCAAGTAGTTTTAATAATGTCGTAAACCAAATGATATAGTCAAAAAATCTGAATGAAACGTAATTATGATGTGTTTTCATAGTCCCACTAGTTTTGTATTGTGCTTTAGTTATGTGAATGCTATATTTCAGTCTGCAATTTTTCACACGTTTCTTCATAGGTTTATGCAGAATTTGTTCATGTGCAAATAATATATGTAATTAAGTTATCGTCATTTTGATCATTGATGTGTGGCTGATAACACTTAAACAGAAGCAAAGTTTCCCTTAGTGAAAAACACACTCTTTTCCGTACTCAGTTTGGTCCAATCGAATTGTAGGGCTTTGAAATTTCAAAATATTCTGGAGGAGTACGACCCCATACCCCTCCCCCCTCTAGAGCAAAGGGGTTCATCGGGTTGGTTACTCTTTTTAAAACTGCTGGGTACTTCAATTGTTATTGAAACCCCTGGATTTGTCCTCAGTCATTAGAGTGCAACAGTGCTAATTTTCACTAGACCAATTTGCACTGCATGTCACACGATGATTTTTTGGGGGGATTTCTCTCATTTAAAAAATTTAATTTTTGTGATGTCATTGTTCTACGGTGTACTGCAGTAATATTGATGTCAATCAGTACACTGAAATATTAATCAGCTCTACATTTCACTGGCCTTCATTGTTGGGAGTGTGCAAGAAGTGAGAATTTTCCTTGCTTAAGATTTAGTAGAAGTATTTGTTCAGTTCTTAAGATCCTATTGCAGATGCTTACAATCCATGGCTGTTCATTTAGTATTTTTTTAAAAATTGTTTCTTGATTCTATTTTATTCTAGAAGAAGAGGATCAGTGGGGTCGCACATTTTACGCAACAACAATCTAGCACAGGAAATCCAGAATGGCTCTGGCTTGTCTGGCTCAGGTATTGTTGTGAGTGTAGAGCTGTCATAAAGGGCGGAGGCCAGCAGGGGTCAGGGATTTTCCCCTGCTGTTAAGAGCCTAACCTGTGCTTACTTTTACTCCTTTTATAGGAAACAGAAGGAAAATGCTGAACTTAAGATTTTCCTTGCTGTTTCCCCTCCTACTAATGACATTTACCTGGAAAGTTTAAATGCAGTTAAATGCAATTTAACCCTTTAAGCCCCAGTATCCACATTCAAGTTCTCCAAACTGATCTGCATACATTTCCTGAAAGAATGAGTTGAGAGAATTTGATAAAAGATCAGGTTTTTTTTCCTTGGGTGATCCCTTTATTAATTCTCATAACCTATCTGTTGACAGTGTATGGATATTGTTAGGAGAAAATTTATCTTGGTCACTATTGGCACTTAAAGGGTTAATGGAGATAACAACAAGTAGTGCTAGTGTTATCTTGCTCATGCTCCATGAAGGTTCCCACATGCTCTTGGAGTTTTGTGTGTTACAGTATGTTCAACTGTGTTAAAGCATTGTGGCGTTTTAGTGTTTTGGGGCAGTTTTATTAAGCATTTATTCTGTGGAGTTTCACAATCATGGGGACTCAGTATATAGTGGTCCCCCCCCCCCCCTTCCTTTCCTCTTTCCACTGACTTGCTCAGTGTGACGGGTGCCTGCTTTTTGGGGGGGCTCATGGCTGGGTTGCCAAGAGTTGCCAGCCATAAGAGTGGTCTCCTTCCCCAGCTTGTAGGAGCTGGCTACCAGTAGTTCAATAAAAGCTCCTGGATATCTCAGGTACCCTGGTCTCACTTCACAGCGTAGTTGTTAAATCCTTGGTTACAGCCCTTACTGTGAGGCTACTGGACAGGTTTTTTTTTTCATGCCCTGGAGAAGCCATGGCTGAAGGACTGCAAAGAATTATAATAACATTATTGTAACAATGATAAATATCATAATATTATCATATTCCTTGTGGCGTTAATAAACTCTCAAGAATACTGACTTTTTTATCATCATCACATAGAAAATAATATTATTTTCAGTTATTGTGATTTATTAGATGTCTTATTTTTGTCTTACCGGAAATATACATTTTTTTTAAGGTTCCCTCAGCATACCAAGGGATGATAGCTACCAAAAGGTAAGAGGATAGCATGGGACCATTCTCCACAGTGGGGGGTAAAAGGCAAAAAAAAAATCAGAGAGGACTTTTAAAAAAAAGGAGAAATCAGTTTTTACTTGTGAAATAAATTAATGTAGGGATAAAAAAGCAACATCAATTCTACCCTGGCTAGTTTATTTTATGCAGCAATTCCAGAGAAACAGTCAGTCACAAAAACAAAAGTTGAATAATTAACAATTATTCCTGGAGCCCGAATGAGCTCTGAGTTCGGCCTCATGGGCTATTGACTCAGAGTCCATGAGGGCGAGAGGAATAGTAATATTGTTTTAGTAAAATGTAACTGGTTTGTCAAAAATATTGAGACAAAACAACTTAAGCTAGAAAAACACAATTCAGCAGCCATTGTTTTGGTTTTTAAAGCCGGTGCTTCTCGCTACTAGTGGGCTATAACATATAGCCTAGTAATAGCTCAACCAATTAGAACGCAGCGTTGGTAATAGACCACTAGTTGGATTTTACTACTAATGATAAGCTTTTCGAAAAACTATCAACAAATTTTCACTTAAACTACTGGATGAAGATGTGCATTCAAAACTGAACATTTATTTTTTTAAAAAATCTTCAAAGGGGCTATGGATTGCAAGCTAGCTTACTTACAGCTATTTCGAGAAAGGTTGTTGGGAAAAGTGCACGCGACAATCCTGTAAGGCATTGTGGGTGCTTCTGAGTTCTCTTTTTTTTAAAGAAATTTGAAAGAATTTGCACAAAAGGCCATGGAAATGTGTTTGCAAGTGCTAAAGGAAAGCAACAAAAGTAGCTTCGACAGCTACAGTCGTCAGGAACAGTGTATTGATCATATCCCATATTAGGGACAGACCATTAGAAAAGTTATGGGGGGGTGGGGAATTTTTGAGCTGCAGCAGTTTTTTTTCGTTTTCAAATTCCTTGTATGAATTTTTTCTAGGCCGTAGCATGAATGTTTTTTAGGGTTAATTGGCGGGCATGAATTTTTTTTCACTAAATTTTTCCTTGCACGAATATTTTTTTTCTAGTTTGCCTGCCCCCCCATAAGTTTTCTAATGGTCCATCCCTTATCGGGATTCTCACCTGCACATTTTTTTCCACAACCTTTCTTGAAATAGCTGTATACTCGGTTTGCAGAGGCTAATCGTTTAGGGGATTTTTTTTCCCACAGCTCGCTAATAATACTCTGGATGAACTTGACTGGGTGCTTTATCAGCTTGAGACATTACAGACACACACTTCTGTCAGTGAAATGGCATCTAATAAGTTCAAGAGATTATTGAATAGAGAACTCAAAGATTTTTCGGAGAGCAATCAATCAGGGAATCAAGTTTCTGCTTGGGTTTACAACACTTTTACAGGTAATGATTATTTTTATAGGGAAGATCGTTCTTGTTATCTAGTGTGATTATTGCACGTGGTTGCAGAAAGAACCACATGTAATTGCTGTCTTTCTCATTTTGAATCTGGTCATCTTAACACCCACCTTTACTGAAACCCCAATTTGACAAACTAGACTTTCTAGAAGTCCTTTATTTTTTTTTTTTCGTGGTTTATGCCATTTTAAAGGACTTTTCATACCTGTTTGGCATGAAATTCACCCGTTGAAAATTCTACTGGTGACATCATGACCATTGATAATAGGACAGTGAGTGATATTACACACTGCTCCTGACACAACATGTGTCAATCATTTTTTCCCTGCGTGAATTTATAATATGATTCAAATCCACTCAGGTGAAACAAGTCGACCTCCAGACTTCGTTGCTCCCTTGGTCACTGCACGACCTCATGCGTTGAAGCTCGCTTTGCTCACTTTTAAGAAGTTATGAGAGGTCGACTTGTAGCAAGTCTAAGGTATAACTAGTCTGCGAGTGAGTTGCAAGCGAGGCAAGTGGCTAGAGAAGAAGAGAGCAAGTGGTGGAGTCATGAGGGGTGTCCCTCTCTCTAGCCAGAGACAGCAGCAGGGGCTCAACTCCGGTGACAACTCCAGAGCTTCCCACTGATCGTGCTTGCCAGTTACCCTCTCTCTCTCTTGCATCTTCTTATACATGCCAGTCACATGAGACTGCTCACAATATCCCCCAAATGGAGAGCCTGTTTGTAGGCTAAAGCTGGTTATAGTAATGTTAAGGGAACAGGGGGTCATTTTTCAAAAAACGCAGAAAATTTTCAGGTCGTGATGCAAATTTCCAAATCAAAACCTGTTGAATAGTAGCACAGTTCCTAGCCCACAAGCCAGTCAATTTTCCTCCATTTACTGATAGTTTCATTGTATTATTTTCAAAATTATTAAAACTTTGATCTTGAATGCAAACACAGCACACACAAAACAGCTTTCTGGGCCCGAAAAGTTACCAGGACTTTAGAGAAACAGGCCCCAGGTCGCAGATATAATGTACCCTCTATCTAGAAGAGAATAAAATGGACGAGCTCCCCTCCTCCAGAAAAGAATAGGAAGAAACCGTGCAAAGGCCAAAAAGTACCATTTTCTTATCTACATTCATCCTCCGGTGTAACTTCTCATGCAGACTGTTTAAGGGATTTTTCACGCGTTCCTGAGGAATGCTTGACAAAGCCCTTAGAACCTCTGAGTAGTAGGCTTCTTTCAGTGAGATGTCACACATTCTCAGCCTTTCAAAGTACTGGTTTCCTACATCGTTTTAGTGTAAGAGAGGTTTATAACTACCCCCCTTTTGAATCTGTAGACAAAATCATGTGGTGTTACCATTAAACTCTTTAATCCCCAATATCCACACAAAATTCTCCACACTGATATCCATATATTGCTTAAAGAATGATTTGAAAGAATTTGTGTAGAGATCAAAGCATTTCCCTTTAGATGATCATTTTATTCTTTCTCATAAACAAATCTCTTGATTACATATAAATAATGTTGGGAGAAAATTGATGTTGGTCACTCCTGGGGCATAAAGGGTTAAATAAAACCTCTCTGGCAGAACTTTTGCCTAATATTATTTATTTCTTAGAATTTAACTGCAAGAAATTTTTGTTTGGCAACTAAGGGAGGCAGGAGGCTGTGTGGCCGAGCAGTTAGAGTGTTGGAATTGTAATCTGGAGGCCCCAATTTCGATCCCCGCCCTAACCGCTAGCTGGATTTGTTCTCAGTAGTCCCGAGTTCGTCTTCTCGGCCGGACATGTAAATAGCCAACTGGTTCACCTCCTGCCTGATTATTTCAAATATTATGTTGTGTCTGTCCTTATCAATAATTGGGTTATGCCCATAAAGCCAATATAAAGTCGCTAAGGGCCTGTTTACATGGAGGTGGGGGACCCAGGTAGGTGAGGTACAGGGTAACCCGCTTAGGTGGGGTAACCTGCCTGTCCATATAATCTCTCATTTTGCGTGAGTACGTTTACATGTCAAATGGGGCAACCAGCCACATGTTACCTCTCCTACCCAGGGTCCCCCACCTTCATGTAAACAGGCCTTAAGCGTGGTTTAAAGAACGTCTTTGCACATTGCAAAAACTCCAGATTTTGTTAACGGAAACGGCTAACTGAGTTCAGGGCGTAGGCTTGCATGCAGTTACTGCTCTAAGAGTTTTGCACATAAGTGAGAGGAGACCCAGCAGTTATCATTCCGGCATTTATTATTCCTTAATTTAATCCTGTATGATTTACAGACAAGCAGCTCGAGGTGGACGCTGTCGCTGGTACAAAGTGTAAAAGAGAAGGGATCCGTGCAAGGTCACGGTCCATGGTTAATGGTGTTCGAAAACTCACGAGACTACACAGTTTTAGTGGGTCAGTACCGAGGTATGTGGGAATTCTTAAGGTTGGAGGAGGGGTGGGGGGGTGGTTTGGGAATTCTTGGGTCCATAGTTACAAACTATACTACCGGTGACAGGTGATAACTCTTAAGTTGCAAAGAGAGGGGAGGAAGGGGAGGAAGAGGCAGCTGGCTCGATAGTGGTGGGCAGGCTAATCAAGGTTCGCCAGGATTATGGTCTTTTTGTGGCCATGAATAAAACGTCATGAATATTTCAAGCTTCCGCGATACGCTTAAAGGACGTGGAATATACAGCCATTTTTTCTTCTAGTGATATGATAAATAGTGAAATAAATGTTTGTTTGCACATTGTTGAAGTTTTGGCCAGTATGAGTTACCCTGACCATAATTCTTGGGATGACGTTCAAAGTTATGGAAAGGTTAAAGTAATTTCAGTTGTCATTTTTTACGTGTAAGTTGAAACTATTTTTTTGTCTTTTGGTTAAAGATTTGGAGTGGAAGTTTCAAATGAAGGGGAATTAGCAAAGGTGAGTTAAAGGTAGTGTACAAAAAGCCGTATGTATCAAAATTCCATTGAGAGGCATGTCACCGTTCCCAGGTAGACAGGATGTTGGTATTGAAACTGAACTACGCTTAGGTCTCTTTGCATTAATACAGGCATTCAACCAAATGTACAACTTGGGTATTTCCGCCGATAAATCTTCCAAGCTCTCAATGACATTTGGTAGTCTCTTGCGTGACGCGAGTAATTGCTGGGAGATTGTGTGACTTAAGAGGAGTCAGTGTTTCGACTTATCTTACTCAAAGCGACAATGGAAACAATTAATTTCTGGATATGTAGTTTAGCGTAGTTGTAGCAATATTACTGGTCGTAATAGCTTTAATATTATAACCTTATTCTTCAGATTTTAGAAGAAATCAACAAATGGACATTTGATGTTTTCAAATTACATGATATTACCCAAGGGCATCCCTTGCTTGCTGTAACATACACAATCCTGCAGGTAAGATCTTTTCTAACGAAACGACAGTTTGATCTTCTTTAAACGTCTACCTTTTCGTATGGGGGGCGGGGCGGGGACCAGGAAGCTTCAGTGCTGCGGAAAGAACCCCACCCTTTCCCTCACCACCATCACTACCAACGTGGCGCGGGGTATCCCAGAAGCGAAGCTATTAATTTGTGGGTCTAGTTTGTTGTTCTTATCTTCCTTGCTTCCTCCGAATCATTCAGTGCAGGAGAAAACCAACGTGTGAATAAATTTTTTTCTAAGAATTTACCGCCATCTTGGGTTCGGGGAACCAAGAGAAGCTTTATGGCCGATAAGTGCGCATTATCGTCAAATGCGACCTCTACATCGTTTCTAACTGAGAGAAAAAGAAGAACTAAAACCAAAACAAGTCAAAACAACATTTGCTGTATACTCACTCTCAACTGTTCATGGTAACGTGAATCTAACCTTTTCATCTCCATACTTTCTACTTACATTGAAAACACCATTTTCCAGAAATCAGATAGCCTATTGTGCTATATGTTCAATAGGCCAGTTTTTAAATTTCAAAATTTATACTTGCCTTCAAGGCTTGGGAGAGTAAAACAAAAGAAATAATTTAAATAATCCTTGAATATCTTGCGATTGCTTATGTTTTATACTCCTCAGCCTTGGAGCAGAGTGTGATAGATGATCATTCGAAACTGGCCTATTGCGCTCTTGCACCAACCTTTATTTGTTGCAAGACAGTTTTGATGTGTGGGTGGTAAAACGCGCAACATCGCTATTCAACTCGCTTTACAGCAGTGTTACAAAACGAGTTGCATGTTCTTGTTGCCTGTTTCACCGTAGCTTTTCGCTCTATTGCTTTGATACTTAGAACGTTTTCGTTTTTGCTTCATTTCAGGCCAGAGATTTATTAAAAATATTCAAGATAAAACCCACTACGTTTATTAATTATATGTCTTCAGTTGAGGTGAGATAACATACTTCTCTGTTTTTGCTTGATCGTGAAAAAGCAAAGTTTTAAGTTACTGATTTCCTAATTCATTTTCTTTAGAGTCACTATCTAAAAGATGTGCCTTTCCACAATTGTACGCACGCTGCTGACGTCACGCAAACGTCTCACGTTCTTCTCTCTGCACAAGCTTTTGAAGTAAGTACACATCTTGTTTTTCTTTAGCCTTGTATCGACGAATTCACCATGACTTCATTGTATACATGTATATTTTAGCATGATTCATTGGCCTCTCCATATAAAACAGCAAGACTGGGAGCAAGCTTTCGGCGCTGAGATTTCTGGGATCTTTGTGGTGAATAAGATAATCAGTGATTGGTCGTCTTTGGATACCATAGACCGATCATTACTAACCCGTCGTCAACCAAAACGATCTCGAAAATTATTGCGCGGAAACCCTGTACGTTGTACCCATTCTCTTCGTAGTTTACAAAGTGGCGAATAGCTGTTATTATAGTTGAGGTTGCGATGTCGGTCAAGTATTGTTTTGTTTTGAAGGCACGCAGACGAAATTAATGGGTTAATCCAATGCAAAATGACTCTTTAGTCTCGTTTCTACATGCTTCGAACCGCTGATAAGTAATGGTAACAGGACTGAGTGGAGTCCAATTCGGTGCGTAATCATGCGAGTGATTAACAAAATCGGACGACCGCGTAGCGTGAGTCCGATTTGTTTAATCACGAGTATGATAACAGGCCGAATTTGACGACACGAAGTTCTGTTACCAATTAATCATAACTTTAACAAAACTTGTGACAAAAGGCTCTTTTTTGAAAATCAAAGCACAAGAAATTCCAAGTTTTTTTTTTGCTGGCAGTGGAAAAAAAGAGCCATTTAAGCTGTCCAATTACTTACAGTCTCAGACAAAAATAGTTGGGACACTTTAACCAAACGCTGTTTTTTCCCTTCTCGTGCTCCCCTCGTCCCTCTCAAAGTTGTTTATCGCGGTTTGGTCACCAAATCTTGTACACCAACATTGAGGGGACAAGGAGACCCCAAAGTGTCCCAACCATTTTGACTGAGACTGTAGGCATGACGCGTACTGTCCTATTAAACTGTCCTATTAAGGCTGAAATCAGGACAGTTGAGAGCCAATCAGATTTGAGAATTTTGTTATAGTTATGATTAATGTACTGCAATAACAGCTTTTTACGTAAAGAAATTGATACGACTACAGCTACCAGAATCCTTCAGCCTTTTCCGTCGTGCAAATTACGTCTGTTGTTGAAACCTCACTTTTATTACTAAATTTGAACAAGAAAGCAAACACGAAATGAATTTTGTTAATTCTCAGATCAACTCCAGTGAGTCTAACATTCCTTTCTAGAGTTTTAAAAACAGTTTCAAACAGAATTTGTGAGAGTGTCTGATACCTCGCACCAAAAGTTAAGGCTTGAAAACTCATCCTAAAGCATCCCATTGTCTTAGAGTCTTGTAAACATGTCCTTTTTTGCAAACTCAAGTTAAACTGCTGAATGTGATCATGAGTAATTTTTGATGATTTCTTTATTCTTCAGTCCGTCTTTACTGATCTCGAAGTTCTCGCCGCTATTTTGGCTAGTGCTGTTCACGATGTTGATCATCCGGGAGTCAACAATCACTTCTTAGTGGCAACAAGTAAGTACATCAAATCAAAGACGCACCTTGTTCTCTACACGAGTGTTCATGGCTCGTTCACGCATGCGATTTAGCGTAATCTGTAACGCGATTTTAGCGCGTGTGACCAACATAAGCCGCGAGTTCGTGACGATTGGTCGCCGCAAAATCGTTGTTGGTTTGAACCAGCTCGAATTTTGCGGGGATCTATCGTTAATGTTCTGCGCGAGTGTTTACCAAGTTTATGATCTACTTTGGAACAGTTCAATTTCTTTGAATAAATTGCGCACGGAGAGCTTTTCCTTTCCCTGCTGTGTGGTTGAAAGCGATTGCACTGGTTTAATTTTTGCTTCTGATTGTGCTTTTGTACTACTTTTTTGCTATAACGTTGTTAAGTATTTTTTTGGTTTTGTTTTATTTGTCTATTTGTTTGTTTGTTTGTTTTTGATCGTAGAAAGAGTTCTTCATTCGTTACTTGCTTATCCGATAATAAATGACTCACCTTTTTAGATTCTGAAATGGCACTGATGTACAATGACGAGTCTGTTCTTGAAAATCACCATCTAGCGGTAGCGTTTCAACTTCTACAACACGAAGATTGCGACATTCTTGAAAATCTTTCGAAAAAGGAACGACAGACCGTACGGAGAATGATTATTGAAATGGTAAGTTTGTGATATTAAGACAGAAATTTCCTGGCTTTAGTTTCATTTCGCCTGGTTGTTGATGAAATCCTGATGAAGCCTTTACCCCTGTATTGAGCGGACCCCATATAAGAGGGTAAGAGCGTCGGCGAGTCCGTTCCCTTCGCATATTAGGGACTTAAAGATCCAATTACGCCATCGCAACGAGAACGTGAAAAAAAAGGTTTAATAGACCTTTCCCACATTACGCTCCAGTGAGCAAACATTAAGAAATGAGGTCGAAGCTTGGGTGGACAACTTCATATAAATCACTGTATTCTGTCCACCGGAGCTTCGAGGTGGTGCCTTTGTTTACAGGAATGCGGGAAAGGTCTATAAGCAAAACAACAACTTTGCACGTGCATCACACTTTTTTGCCATTTTTCCACGACTACGACGTGAAAATGCCTAATTTCGCGTTTTGTGGAAAACGTAAACAAGGAACGACGAAATTTTTTTATTTCTGTTTCTGATCTTGGATATGGTCCCTTGGAATTCAATTTCAGGAGGGGTCGCCGACATTTGGCAAAGTAAGTGGGTTGGAATAATCGCGATAAAGACTGAAGGAACGCAAATTCACTTTTTAAGCGACGTTCTTGTTGCCGTCGTTGGATCTTAAAGTCCCTATTCTCTGTAAAGGTAATGTTACACGGGACGATTCGCAACAACGGTTTTTAGCGCAACACAGCATTACAACATTGTTGCAACATTGCGTCAAATGGTTGCAACATTGTTCCAACACTGCAACGCTGTGTTGCGCTGAAAATCGCTAGTTGCGAACCGTCTCGTGTAACATCACCTTAAAACGAACCGGCTCCGCCCCATGTAAGGGAATCCAATACAGTCTTGGATTCTGGATTCGACGCAGTGGATCCCGGATTCCAGGTACTGGATTCCAATCTGTGTCAGTGGAACTTGGATTCTGGATTGAAATCTTTATAAGGATTCCGGGTTCCAGGTACTGGATTCCGGATTTTTTGTCAGTAGAACTTGGATTCCGAATTTCAGTCGTTAGCATGATTCTTCAAAGCCAGGATTCCTGATTCCGCAAGCAAAAATTTCCCGGATTCCAGAATCTGGACTCCCTTACATAAAGCGACTGGCTGTAATGAGTAGGGTGGCAACGATGCATTTTCTCACGAAATGAAATACATCGCGACACGTTGAAGCGAGAAGAACGCGAATCGGGGATGTGTTGCTTTTTTTTTCATTTGTTTCCGTCTTAAATCGCCTTACACAGGCTGAAATGCAAGGCTTGGCTAAGGGATTTATATTAACAGGCAGTGATTTCGTAAATTTTTTGCACATGTCGCTTGTCTTTATGTATCGTAACATCGCGATGTCTTGTTCAAATATTGATATTCGTATCGGGGGAAGAAACATCGCGGTTCACCTATGCATCTATGTATTGTTGAAGCCCTAGTATTCATATTGTTAATTTATTATCAGAGTAGTGGTGAAGAGCGTTTATTTAGGGGGAGGTTGTTCAGTGTTGATTTGCAATAAATGATGCACATGTGTCAACCTCTACGCACTCCTCGTTCAACTAGAAGGATGAAACTCACCCTCAGTATGGCTGGGGAGTCAAACAGATGTTAGGCAGCCTCAGCTGGTGGTCAGAGTGTGATCGCCGGATTGCGAGTCCGACGCGATGAAAACAACTGCCACGCTGACCCACCCCTCCCCTCCCACCCCTTTGTGCGTCATACTGGACTAAGCAACGGGAACTAACAAATCGCAATTGCTCTGTAGTGTTTCTAATAAAACACATATCGCTTCTTCTATTTTGAACAGGTTCTTGCAACCGATAACGCAAAACATATGAGCCTGCTGGCTTCTCTTAAAACCATGGTTGAAAGTAAGAAGGTTGCAGGCAGCGGAGTACTGTGTTTGGATAATGGAACGGATAGAATGCAGGTTGGTCTTAGTAAATAAGTGTCAGTGAGTTTGTTACCTCCGCGTCCTGTGTAGGTTTTAAAGGTAATGTTACACGGTACGATTTGCAAAGACGATTTTTAGCGTTACAATGTTGGAACAATGTTTTAACTATTCAAAACAGTGTCAAAACAGTGTTGCAACGCAGTGTTGTGCTACTAAATCGTTGTTGCGAATCGTCTCGTCGAACATCGCCTTAAAACCCAAGCTTCGCGTTCACACGGTGATGTTCCACCTACGTTGCAGTCAACGAATAATTTCAAATCATTTGCTAATTTCAATTTTGTTGCATTCGTGTCCTAATCAGGTTTTAAAGTGTCTTGTGCACTGTGCCGATCTAAGCAATCCAGCCAAGCCTCTTCCAATGTACAGAAAATGGGTAGACAGGCTGATGGAAGAATTCTTTAGACAGGTGCGTCTCCCCGAGAACTTCTTATCCTTCAACTCGCAGTCTCCTTTCAGTTTTAGAGCTAAAACTAATGAATGCTTCTAGAAATGCAGTCAAAACACGCTTTACGGCCACCCACTTCACACTGACACCTCATGATTACGGACAGTTTGCTTTGTCCGTGGGGAAGAAAAGTTATTTGCATATTCTCTTAATCCATCCCGCTTAAAACGGACACCCTGTTAATACGGAGATTTTCTATACCCCTCAGTGTCTGTATTAAAGAGGTTTGTCGACAGTAAAATGTCAGCTGGATTAAACTTCCCTTCGTTCCTGCCACTAGTTGTCATTTGAATGCTCAGTGTGGTTGGTTTCATCTTGTATAGCGTGTCACTTGAATGGTCGCTCTTGAGGGTCTCGTCTTGTTAGCGCGATAAAATACCACACAAAAGTACTGCTTTGTTACTGCATGTAGCACCTGTTAATCTCATCAACAATAGATGAGGTTGAGTGTAGGCAGGACTCGAAAGTAGTCTCTTACGGTAGTGAGATTTGAGATTTTATTTGTTTTCCGTAAACCCTTTCTTACATTAGGGCGACAGAGAGAGAGACATCGACGGCATGGAAATAAGTCCGATGATGGATAGACATAACGCATCAATAGAAAAGTCGCAGGTATATTTTGCTGAATTCAAAAAGAGACCGGGGGACACTTACTATTAACACAATCCACCCGGGTGGAAATCTTGTGCATCAACATAAACCTTTAAAATTTGACGTGGTGGGAGAACGACCCGCTACAGAGACAGAGTATATCCAAATCAGCCCAACAGACTAAAAAGCGTGGTAAAATTGCGCTTGGCCCAGATTTTCTGAAGTTTCGGAAACGGAATGGCGCGATTCATTTGTTTCTCCAACCGAAATTTCCCATAATAAATGGTAAGCACCCCGGTGTTCCATGAAAAGTTCTTTAAAGCTTGAGAGTAACTGCCAAATGTCAACCAAATCATGGAAAAAGTTGACGTCGCGCAAAGACAGAGGCGCGGCGGCTTAGCTGTTTTGTATGCCAGCGGTGTTGAGCACTTTTTGAATACGCAAAGATATTCCTAAGGATGTTTTGAGCTAGGAAATATTTTTTAAAAGAAATAATAAAACAATTATTAAATTCGGCTCTTGTATTATATGAAGACAACACCTTTGTCGTAGTCCTGCGAACAAGGGCACCGAGTCGAGTCCCAGGTGTTGTTTAAAATTGTCCACCATTGTGTGTCCTCACTTGAGCTGAATGCGGGTAAGATTTTTTTAATTAGTCCTCTCCCTTATTGGGCTTTTCTCAGGGGTAATGAAACAAATAATTCAAATGGAACATAACAAGTTTAAGAATCCCTGTTGGCAGAAGGCGAACCAGTTGCCTAGCCGAGGATTTGAACTCGGAACTAGCAAGAAAAAAATCCGGATAAATGTCCGGGCGGGACTTAAACCTCGTAGCCTCCAGATTACAGGTCCAGCGCTCTAACCGCTCGGCCACGCTGCCTCCACGATTTAAAGGCCTCCTTTATTTCTCCTTCCCCAGGTTGTATTTATCGACTTTGTTATTCAACCGCTGTGGGAGACTTGGGGCGACCTCGTTCATCCAGACGCGACGGAGATCCTGGAGCGGATTGAGGATAACAGATACTGGTACAACGCGCAGGTGCCCAAAAACGAGCAGGAGAGAAAGCCTGGAGAGCAGAGCTCCACTGGGCGGGAAAAACGTGTCAGTTGGCAGGGAACAAGAAAGGAGGCTATTGACCAATCAGAACCCGAGACGTCTGGTGAGTGAGTTAAAAGGCGTTTGCTCAAAATCGAAAAAAGTGCAGGTTTTAGGGGGATTGTTTTTCGTATAACCGCCGCAGGGCAGTTTCATGTGAGTATTTTCTGTAGTTAAATCGCAGTCATTTTGTTCTCTCCATTTCTTCGACCGTCTGTAAGAAAAATAATCCCGCCACTTTTTCAGCCAATCATATGCAGGGATTTTCCCGCGCTTGGCGCCCCCCATATGTGCTATGTTTTGATTTTTGATTGGGGCCAAAAATGTCGTTCTTTGTACACTGGAATCAAGATTTTTTAAAACCCAATTGAAATTGTTTCGAATTAAGGGAGCGTTACGAAAATTCGGGAGTAAAATGGATGGATTCATTTGGCTGGGAAAAGAAGCCAGTTTTGGTTTCAATAGTTTTAAGAAACCGAGGTTTCAAAGAGCTGTGTTGGGATTCCTCTTAAATCATTTTTTGGTTGTCTGGACTTGCAGTGAACTTTAACATGAATAATTCTGTTGCGCAGATGACGACAGCGAGCGAAGGATGCAGAAACTAAGAGAGGTGGCTGCCAGCAGTGTGAAGACCGCTGACCTGTCCAAATACGCCAGCAGTAGCCGGAGCTGCGAAGCAGACGATGAATTTGATGACGAAGAAGAAAAAGGTAGAGGAGAGGAACCCGACCCTTCTACCCAGCAGATAGAAGAAGAAGACGAAGTAGACGAGGAGGAAGATAAGGATCAGTCTTGAAAATTAAAAGGTGAAAACTGCAGGGAAGATTTCCGTCTGAAGTGAGCAGGCGAGGTGTTTTTCAAGTGCAGAAGAAACGGAGAAGCATTGTGGTTGGCAGAAAAAGGAAATCAGAGCAACTAAGCGAGACTTTCTTGCATTTAAGACGGACTGGCTTGATGTCCATAATTTGTCATCTGAGGAAAGATAATGGAAAATTTGAGCGAGCCTTTTTGAAACGCGGGTAAAGTTAGGGAAACGTGTGACTGACTTCTCAACTGCGAAAATGCTGATTGTTCGCGAAAGTTGTGTTACTGCAAAGGAGAATTAGCAACGTTACAAGGATTTGGAGAAAAAACTGCGATTATAATGAGGTTCTAATATTCGTGCGAAAAAAGAAGCTAGGAAGAAGTGATAGCGGTAATGCGGAGCAAATTTGACACCTAGATAATTTCACTGGACCAGCAAACATCAATGGAAGTGACGGAAAAGAGTTTTCTTTGTTGTGGAGGTGTTTAACGTACGCTTCTCTCATCGGAGTAAATTGTGAACGTTTGGGGCACGATGGGTGCTTTTTAACAAGACGGAAAGGAGACATGAAAGCTTAAAGGCGGCTTCAATCATCGCGTCTTCTCTTCTATTGAATTCGAGAAGCGCGCTGTTTTAAATTATTTATTTTAACTTTTCCTGAAGCTTTTAATGGTTGTCGATTCGAATTTTTGACGTAATCACTTGGACAGTTTTAATGACAGTTTCTTTTTTACTGCATTTTCCAAGAAATTTTTACCGTTTCTACGATACAAGACTTCAATCGACTCAAAGGCAACTGATTTAATAGTTGCTCAGTGACGAGATGACTGTCGTTACCCCAAACTAATATGGTTTATATCTGGTTTAATAAGTCTCCGTTTTTTGCCTGTGGAAAAAAATCTTCAAGCGCACCTTCGGCTGTTGGATGGGCCATCAGTTGGGCGACGTTTGTAATAATCAAACAAACCATGTCATGTGCTACGGTCATATAACATGTACAAAATATTAACCCGAGTGTCGCGACTTGGTTTGTTTCCAACAAACGTAATGCACAGTCGCTCTTCAGGCTCAATTACGCCAACCTGCCAGACCTCAGTCAGTCGGCCAGGTTAATTTTAACTTAAGTATGGTATTTATTTTACCTGTACAGAAACAACTCACATTGTCAATATTGTTTATATTGGTTTTATATTTAACCATGTGCGGACATCAGAGAGGGCTTTAGGCCCTAGTTAATACACGGCTGGGTGAATTCCATCCCGTTGCGAGCTAAAATTGTAACATAGTGCTGTATAAATTGTGAATAGCTATTATTCTCCCTGTTCCATTCCACTCGCCGCAAACCAATAGACAGATTAATATTATTATTTAGTGTACATTGTGTTATTAGCGCCGATTACATTAATTATGGTGGAGATTTATTGAAAGAAACAAAAAATGCATAGAATTACGTCAATGGAAGTCTCAGTTCTTAATGAAAAAAGAAAATACTGCAACTTTAAAAAAATGGTTTGTTGAAGTGTACTTTATGCCTCCATCATTTCATCCGATAGAACTGAGGATGCTCACATTCTCACATTTATTCTTTTAATTCCTTGTAATCTTTTCCGGAATCCGCGAAAATTTTGCCAGTGAAGTCCTGAATCCAGGGCCTTGGAATCTGGAATAGATCTCAAGGAATACCGAATCCAGTGCTTGGAATCCGGAATCCTGGGCGTGGAATCCTGAATCCAAGACTGTCTCGGATTACATCTGTTCCTTTTATGGAATGTTTCAGCCCAATTTACACTCTCTCTCAGGGTAAAACGTTTTGCTTAGTCATTGAGTGGAGATTTCACTCACTTTTAATTGGAAAATTGTGAAAGATAAATGAATTGATAAATTAATGTAACTACCTTTTCAATTTTTCTCAAAATAAGGAGGTTGTTTTCGCTGAAAACGCTTCGCGTCATGGAAAATTCTGTTGTTGCAGAAAATATGTATTGAAAAGTCTAGTAAATTAATAGCGTAGTCTTCGTGGACGGGCTGTTCTAAGCTGGGTCAAGATAACCCAGGGATAGTGCAAAATTTTGAATTCAGAAATGAAAGCGTAAAATGCAAATTCGGTTTAATTCTTTTTGTCTGCAATTTGATGATTGGATGGTCTAAAGACAATAGAGAATAGTATCTGAAAAAAAAGGCTTTTGAAGAAAAGAAAAAGAAACCCGGGTGAAAATTTAACCCTGGATGAGCGCCAATAGGCCGTCGAACAATTGGGCCCATATATTTAAACCTTGGCTTTGTTAACTCAATTTTTGAGAGGGTATGATTGTTTCGTACTTCGGAATTGGAGGAGACGTACAGTGAGCAACATGAATTTCCCGCGTCAAGTCATCTTTTGCGGTCACAAGAAAGCTTTCAAATCCCCACAGCACAACTACAATCTCTGTACCCTCTCACCGAAGCTCTCTTTACAGAAAGTAATTAGCTAAAGCTATATATTGCCTATTTTGTCTACAATTTATGAAAGGCTTGTTCACAACCAAGTTGTTGAGTTCCTGGAAAAACACAACCTTCTTGAGGATAAATTTTCTACATTGCGGAAAGTCCATTAACAGTATCTGTTTTTTAAGCATTGGTGAGGACATTGGAAGCAATGAACCCGAGTGAGTGAAGCTCACTTCCTCGGTGTTTTATACTGTAAAATTTAGGTCTGTCCTAGCAACAACTTAAATGGACAGTCAATTACCTTTGAGGAAGAGAGCAGTTATTTCAAATTGACGACCGTATTTCAAAATCTTTGAACTTTGGTTTGGTGTCCCCAAGGGCTTCTTCATGGGTCCACATATTTTTAACTAACATATGCGTGGTTGATTTGCTAGGAGAACGTGACTGTGTTTACCATCAATATGCTAACGTAATTTGTGGATCTGCTGAGATAAAGCCATTATTACTATTATTATTATTATTGTTATTACTATTATTATTATTATTATTATTATTATTATTATTATTATTATTATTATTAAAAAGAAGCAACTTTTTAAAACATTTAGCTATAAAAATTGCAAAGGAACCTTTCCTAAAAACATTTAAGAAATTTTAAAAAAGTTAGAAAAAACAACTTTTCGACGTTCCCGGATGTCATTATCAAGTGAAAAGAAATACAATATGAATATTCTATAAATACAAGAAAAACAATAGTTCATTAAAAGGCAAGTAACATATAAAAATATATTACAAGTCAAACAGAGTTTAGCACTGATGGAGTCACTCTGAGCCGTTGAGGCTAGGCTTCAGTTCTTTGATGAATAACATTTCGTAAACGAGGCAGTCAAGTTTCCCGTGGCATTTCTTGAGAACGCGAAATTGGCCCTCATTGAGACGATTTTTGTCACCTTGCGCTTCTAAAAAATGTTTACCGATAGCTGAATACTTGTGTTCAGCAATGCGTTGTTGAAGATGTCGGGCTGTGTAGCCCATATAATCTGCATCTCACAGATCACAAGCAAATTCATAAACAACGCATTGCTGACTTACTTTCTTTAGGCTTATGATCTTGCTCCAATTTTTTGCTCACAAAAATAGGCTGTAACGTGACGGCAATCTTATTGCTTAGATCGCGCAATTGCGTACGGACTGTCTTAGAGGCTATCTGATCTTTGAAGGGAAGAACTATTCTGATCGTATTGCCATCATCGGTTTTCTTTTCTGGCCTAGTTGTAATACTGTGAATAAACATATTAACGGTCGAATTTATGAGGCCAATTGGATAATCAAGTCGGCAGAAGATAGAGCTTGGCACATTCCTCACTGAAGGCTTCTGTCGTAGATGACAGGGCATGGGCGAGATGTAACATGGTCTTAAATGAACCGGTTTTGTAACGTTTGTCTACATGGCTTTGAAAATGCAAGAGAAGACCAGTGTTGGTTGGCTGCCTGTAAACACGGGTTTCAAGTTCTAATAATTATCATCATTATTATTATTATCATTATCATTATCTTCATTGTTATTATTAATAATGTTATTATTATAGATGCAGTAGGTTGCAAAACCCTAAACCATTAACTTCACTAGAGATAAACAGTAATGATCGAAATCCAGCCTTAATCGGCCCCAGGGCTCCGATTGTTGTAATTTCATTCAGAAAAAGGAAAAAGAGGTTAGCTGTAGTGCCTGCAAACACTTCATGGGTTTAATGAACCGATCGCGAAAATGAGTTAAAAAAATCCAATCTTTAGTCCATCAATTTCCTGAATGGAATCTTATTTTCCTATTTTTGTCCACACGAGATCAAAACTATCCGGCCAATTAGAAAATCTACCATGCAAAAAGCCTTGGTATTCTTCCAGCGTAGCATTATTACTGCTCTGTTGGGGGCTTTAATCTTAGAGTTCCGTTTGTCTAATGTAACGATTTGGCCGAGAAACAGTTTTGTCAGGTGCAGTCGGTCTAGTAAATAATCCATCAAAACAACATAATTAACTGCACTATAATTGATCTCCAAAAACTGTTTTCAACCTGGAGTAAACAAGTCAGTAAATCTTGGTGATCTCCAGTAAAATCTACCCGGATTCGTGATCAAACCAGTACACGGTTTGGTAGTCTTACATCGATCAGTACAAGAGGTTTCAAAAGAGGGTATAACGAATCGGACGCCCTTTATTCATCTATATTTATTTTTGGCCTTCCCACGATCTAAGGAGACTGCGAAATATCTTTCGTTCGTAAGATAATTTCAGTGTCTGCGGTTTTGCTGATCTTTTTTTAGTATAACAATTGTGGAAATTTCTCAAATTGAACAGGAAAATATAGCTAGATCTTGTGAATGATGGCATCTATTGTTGGTAAGTTTATGGTTTATTTCTACTCGGTTAGCAATTGGTGGAACATTTTTGAAACACGCAAGAACAGTAACGCGTTATAAAGATTCACATGGTTTCACATGGTGACTACTAAATTAGTCCCATCTAATAATAAATCTTGTCATGAAGGCAACGTATCCGAGTTCGTGGTCTGCGTGCGGGTCTTGTAATCGAGGTCCCTGGGTTCAACTCCCATCTTGTTCGGACAAGTAGCTGGAGATATTTCACGGAAGGCCTGAGCTGATTTCAACTTCTCTACTTCGCTTGTGAATAGACGACCTGTATTTGAATGGGGCTTAGTCCTCTCAAATGTAAAGTAGCTCTAAGCAGCTTTGTGTACTTTAGCCATCAACAAGGCCCCACATAAAATTATGGGGTCGAGCACTTTTCACCAGTTTCACCATTGATCAGTCAATGGACAAACCCCTCAAAACTATAGAACATTGGCGCTACGGAAAGTCAATAAATCTGTCCGATCAGGAACCGTTTTGTGTGTTAACGGTAAAAGCTAAACCAGAAAGAAAGGAGTTTTCCATGTTTAGTGGTAATACAATTAATTAAGAGTTCCGGAACCCATATGTTTCCAAAGCTTAATCCCGTATAGTAATCAACGCAATTTCCTAATCTGATTTTAGAGTGATCTACTGAATTGGACAAGCTTTCATCTGACCAGTCAACCAGGCACAATTTGTTTTTATACAGCTATAGAAAACCATGGCTAAAGTCACGACTATTAACCCTAGAACCTCGTGTATTTCATTGGTGGTTACGCATCACATGTTTTCTTTGCTACGAAACAGCACGGTTCCGTCGTTCAGTTAGAAGAATTTTATTTATTCCAAACACCAACACTAGCACTTCTAAATGACGTCATCGGGTTTGAAGGCCCCTGCCGTTGGTAAATATAGCCGGGTTCTTACTTTCAGCCTAGCAAAGATTGCAGTTTGATGCTTTAAACTATGACTCGATAAAACAAATGATCACCGTGATCGGTTTTTTTTAATGATCTCTGATTTTACTTCCGCAAAGTGCAGGCGTCTGCGAATGTTTTATTTATTTATTTATTTTTTCTATATCTAGCTTTTCTCTCTTCTGCGTTTTTATGCTCTCTACCGAACCTTTTGAACACCATCAATCCACCGCGATTCCGGTAAAATGCTATTTCTAAATGAGGTTTTATACCTTACGAACTGGTCAGTGACTCCTTCGAGAGTGATAATGATTCATGAAGTGAGATTGAACAGTACTTTTTGATTTCTGCGGTACTAATGATCGCACATAGAGTGTACGTTGTTAACTTTGTCACTTTTGATATTTTCCCTTAATTATAACACAGGATCACCACTCAAATGAAGGCAAGAAAGCTGCCTTTAAGTTCATACTATTTACTTCTAAGCATTAGCACTCAAATTTTATTTTGACAATTTCATTGGCTAGTATTCTAGGTACTTGTAAACTAATGAGAATAGCTAATGAGAAGTTAAATCGGATAAGTAATGCTTTTTCGGTTGGAATCGTGCTGCTATGCAGTCTCTGGCCTCGCAAGTTAAATGATAAATATTATTTAACAATAAAACAGCAAGCATCGCAGCTGGATATCAACAACAAGCCCCAAACCGCACGCATTTTCACGTCATTAAGAATGCATTATTCAATTTTTCAAATAATTATGGACCTCGCTCTGCCCGCAAACCTTCCAAAATTATCAAAACGTAAAATGTAGACGTCATTTCCCCCCAGTAATTGAGCAGAAAGATTCATCTTTGAGGACTGATTTCAAATTTAGATCAATATACCGTACAATGTAAACAACGTCAAGTACAACTAGTCTTCAAGGGCACCAGTTGACTTCCTTTTGCAATTGTTTTACGTCATGGGTATTGACAGGGGCCCTTTGTTGTTCAAGTGGATAAGGGGTGTTTTGCTGCTATAATGACAGCTTTGAGAGGGTACTCTTTTTGTGATTAATTTGCCCTTGTTAATTTAATGCCAGATCACGCGATAAAAGGAACAAAGCCAAAGTGGTAGCTCCGGTGGGTGGACGTACATTCCATGCCACACTTGGGGGGAAACGAGGTAAATAAGCCTCACGTATCGCATGGCGAGTCAATACGTAGATTAGTAACACAAGACGGGACAGAGAAATCAGTTGAATTTTGGCTTGCAGAAAGAACACATCAACAAAATAACTAATTGGGTTCCATATATAAAAAGGCTGCAAAAAAAACACTGCGTACATTGTACGTGTTTTACTTCAAGATGAGAGAACAGTTACAAAGCCCCGACTTTCGCAATGTTTGCTTTCCTTGTTCGCACTTTCCGGGTTTAGTACAGGTTATAGAGGAGCGGGATTGGAACATTGAGTCACCGTGTTCTAGTAACAGAAGCTCGGCGACTTCAACCACTTCGAGTGTTAGTACTTCTTGTAGAACGGAACATACAAGCCCGAACGAAATAGAGAGAAATTCAGTCATGGAGTCTGTGGAGCCAAGTGTTCTGACTGTTGGAGCTACTGCGCAGCTGAGAAGAAGAAACAGTTCAGTTTCGAGAGGAAAACCAAGACTTAAAAGCATGCAAATTATGACCACACCGAATAACGACAGTCTAGAACGGTCAGAGACATTTGTAGCGCAAGATGGTGTCTTAACTACAAACTTTTGCTCTACAGAATTATGATTTCGTCGAGGTTGTTAGGGGTTTTCACAGCAGGTGCAGAGAATTGAAGAGGGAGGTCTACAGTACACCTCGTGCTTTGATAGATCAGAACGCGAAGAGGAACGAAAGTACCGAAAAGGTCGAACGGTCGTTCTGCTTCATTCCCAACCATCAGTATAATACGCAGCAAACATCGTTAGTCTACGTGCAGGACTTTTCCACAATGGTTAAAGCCTCGACGGAAATATGGAGAGTGCAAATCGACTGACACGAACTCATCACTTAAAACAAAGAGAAACTGAGTTTAGTTAAAAACTGGAGGTGAACTCTATCAGGTTAAACTGTAAGGAACGTATAAATGAATTCCCGGCTTTGCACCATGTTTTATTTATCTGTGTCGCTGTAACTTCTAGATAAGGTCGACATAATAATTATGGTGTACAAAATGTATAATAGCATTTTCGAATGTTTGTAAATAGTGTACGCAGATTTATGTTTCTGTGATCGCCGAACGTTTGAAGCAAAGTTACAGAACAGATTAAATCGAAGTTCTTACATAATATATCCCAAAGATTCAATTTATGTTCTCACTCATTAACGGGCAAGAAAAGAAATCATTCTTATTTAATGTTACACAATACCTTGCGCAAGATAAAAACTACTGATTACGATTTAATTAGTTTATATACTAAATAAAGTTTACAATTGGATTAATCTGTATTTCTTTTGCGAGTAAATCAGAATATCAATCGAATATCAATAAATGGCTTCCATGCGAAAGGAGTAGGGGAGACTAAAATACTTCCCTGAATTAACTTGACGGCGAACTAAAGTTCCACACGTACAACTTGATACGCATGAGGAAATCGCGAAAAAAGGAATATTGATTTGGTAATATTCCTCCAGGGCACATTTTTAATCAACTTTACAAGTTTTTATTTTTTTCGGTATCACTACGGCGTTAACACAATACAGAGTTTTTACTGGAAAATAAGGTTGTTAACAACATATATGATCAAAGTGCCTGATTGTCTATTAGAGTAACATGTAACCATAGCATACGACTGCAGAAAAATATTCTTTCTCTTGAATCAGTCTGAACAAAGTTAATCCAAATTCAGTATTTTTTCTTCATAAGTTCTAACAAATAAACCAAGAATCTTTGTCTTCATAAGAACAAACAAATAAACCAAGAATTTTAGACCATTGTAAACACTTCCGGTTTTTCTTAGATGAGATCAAAAATGCCTCCATCGACAGCTTTGTTCAGCTCAGTTTGTGGAAATCCGAACTGTCGGAGACTTCAAGTTTGCATTCTATTTGGAGAATGTTTTGCTTCGTACCGAAGTTCACCAGAATATTATGAAATACAGATGAATTTGCTAGAAAGCATGTTTTTGGGTGACCTATAAAACAGGTTAATCACTCCCAGACTTGATTGCCGTATAAACTGTTATTCGACTCATACTCATCAATTGTGGGACAATTAGTTATTGGATATTCTTTCACATTTCAAGGCAGTTTATTTAAGAATTTCAAGAAGATATATCACCATTAAAAACTAGAACTTTCTTTTCAATTAAAGGCAGAATTTTGAGATGCCGTGAACAAGACAACAGACTAGGATAGTAAATTGCAATGTTAAATATTTGCAAGTCTTTCTACCTCGTAGAATGAGTATATTTGTTTCGGGTTTTCAACAAGGAAATGCTTCAGTAAAAAGTATACCATTCACTAAATAGCCAAGGTCAAAACTCCCAATAAGTTCCATGATGTAATACACTGGAAAAAGGAATGATCATGTAGAAAGTACTGCAGAGGCGGTTTCATGTTAAAGGAAATACCGCTGCAGATTTTTTTCCACACAAATTAAAAGAGTGAGAACAGTACAGTAATGTAAACAGCACCACAAGAGAGCACTGTTCCGTAGCTTTCACGGAACGCTGGTATAACGAAATAGAATTTCATGCACAGACTACACATAGTTGGGACCATTTTTTACCGCATAAATAGTACCAAATTAAGGGAAAATACTGCTCAAAAGCTTTTATTAGAATAATCGCTTTCCTTGGTAAAAGCAAAGCAAAACAGTACCTCAGGAACTCTTATGGCCAGTAGCTTTATTTAGTTTATTTCATGTTCCGCCAACAGTAACGCCCTGTGGATGATCTTGTCCACGAACTCAGAGGTTAGATCTAGACCCTGACTTCTTGTGCGCGGTACCAAGTAACTTTCATACGCCACCGCGGATATATTTTAATGAATTTATACGCTTACCCAAACTCGAACTTTACGAAAACGCACTTCAAAGGGGAAATGTATTTAGTAACGCCTGTTTTGCGTTTAAGCTTGGACGGAAAACCTTCCAAACTCTAGGAGTTTTCTCACAACGATGCGTGGTTAAATTGAAGTGTGTGTGGGAAGGAGACATTTCAGCCGTTCTTTTTTTGCCCAAACCGGGAAAAAATACTTTATATGACCTAAATACTTTTTACCCTTTCGAACAGATATTGTATAAACGGTACGATAGTTGCTGGGATAAGCATTCCTCTAAAAACTGCTTCATTCGCGGCGTCAGAACTTTTTTCCCAGCCATCCAGCTGTGTTTGAACAAAAATTGAATTCCTTTCATATTTTAGAGGCCACGATTATGCAACAGGGCACAGAAAATGGCTGAAATTTGATAATTACGTCATAATAAAGTTCCTTTTTTTTTTCTGTCTATTCAAAGTATCAAAACAACGCGCGCGATTTCAATTCCATACAACTTCGGACTCCATTAAAGTGTCACATGTACTTAATATTCAAAACAGAGCGTAAAAGTAAGAAGGCAGTTTCAAGTTTGTTTTTCCAAACTTGAAGGCTCCCTTATCAATTCCCTATACTGATTTCCAACAAATAAGGGACGTTGATTTAGCAGGGAATGTAACACATGCATTGGGCTAAGTTGCTCGAGTCTTAACAGTTTTCTGGTCATCTGTTCTGTTTGCAACTCGAACTATAATTAACAGCACAAACGAAAACCCCTGCACAGTGTTCTCTTGCGAAATTGCGTGCTCACAGTCGGTTGTCTTTTGTGCCATCCTCCAGGATACCTCAAGAGCTTCTGGGAATTCATCAAAACAGCTCACCAAGAGAATGTTCCAGTAGCTAGTCGTTCCAGTATGTACTTTAGGACATCATAAAAACTCAAAGAAATAATGATTGGAACATTCAAAGCCGCACGAGACCGCGTGGCCGGGTGGTCAAAAGTCGCAGCTGTAATCTGGGCTCACTTTTTCTACACTTTTGGATATCTATGCATTTCTTGGTAATCAGGGAACCAAAACGACTGCACATTCTACGTGGGCTCCCTGTGCACCGAAATAGTGTCAGCAGTCGCTTGGTCGGCGGTTTTGAATAGAGCTAAGCGATCCTAACTCCACAACCCCGCCCATGATTAGTTACAAACTAAGATGAATTCTTGCTCGCCTTAGCGAGACGAGACAGCATACTACCCTTAATTTGGCGGAAAATCCATTTTTTTGAGGATGTAATACCGCAGGCTCTTGCACACGTGAACACGACTTAAGAGAGGTCTTACATGACGTTGTATACGTGTCCCGTCAGGACAAAACCAACAAGGCCTCCAGGAAGAGAAATAGACCTATTCGGCTAACTCAATGTTGTACCCAATTCAAATCTCCCGGGGATAAGATTCTTTGTGTATTGCATTTGCATTATAATGTGGCATTCACATTTAAATTATATGGAAATTCCTGAAACAAAACATTTTATTCCCAAAGGGTTTGAATTGGGTACAATATTGAGTTAGCTGAATAGGTCTATATTGATTTCAGTTCTAAAGCTTATCAAAAAAAATGCAGGTAAGTTGTCCTTGCACACAATTTGATATTGGACACTCCTGACGCTACACAATGACTAGAAAAATGCTTTAAAAAAATAAACAAGAACCAAAATCAAAATATTATCCCAGATAAGCGACTGAATTGGCCTCAGAACAACTGGGCGAAGAATGTTTAAGTGTCGAAGCATAAATTGACTTTAACTGGCAAGAATGAATCGAACCAGGTATTTTGCCTGATCATTCGAATGTTTCGATTGCATCAGCAGGCGAATCTGTTGCTACTGCTTTGCGTTCTACTGTAATATTAATAAGGTCGTTCTCATTTCCCCATTTAAAATGAATTCAAAATCATTATCAGTAACTTGTCAATAACATTTTCAGTTCCAACGCAGTCTGGTTCCAACGCTAGTACTCAAAACTCGAATGACTTGCCCCTTGTAAGGTAGAAATCCAGGATACGAAAATTTTTCTCATGGGAAATGTAGAACCCAGGGCTTTGGAATACGGAATTCAGCTCAAGGAATCCGGAATACCTCTAGTGACTGGAATCCGAAATCCAATTTCCATTGTCAAGGAATCCAGAATTCAGTACCTGTAATCCGGAATCCACGGCGTGGAATCCAGAATCCAAGACTGTATTGGATTACCTAACATGGGGCGAGAAGGACTCACAAATCCAGGAAAGGGAAATTTAGGGGTCAGTTATAATCCCAAACTGACATCATGGGGGGAGCATACCCTCGTGACACCCTAGAGCATGCCCCTTCGGCGCTCGTAAATGTCTCGGAATTCGGTCACCATTTGTCCCATCGGAGGTCGGCTTATATCTTCGCTCGCCAGTCTTCTTCATTTTAAGCCCGCTTCGCAGACAATTATACTTTCTTGTCCCATGCACTAGGGAATCCAAGACATTCTCCATGCAGTGGACTCCGGATTTCAAGCACTGCATTTCGGATTTCTTGTCAATGGAACTTGGATTTCGAATTCCAATCCTTAGTAGGATTCCGGATTCCTTGAGCTGTATTCTGGATTCCAAAGCTCAGGATTCTGGATTCCATAACTCAAATTTTCCCGGATTCCCTTACTTTAAACGTTGACGAACGGCTTATATTATTTACGAGTAAGAATTTCGAAACTTTTGACTGCAACGCAGACTTCTTCATTCCATGCATTT